TCCTGCGATCCTGCAGCCAGCTGGATCGAAATCCGCAACGTGTCTCGAGAGGGAATTCCTTTATAATTAGGATTTACCACCACCCCATTCGAGTCTCCTCGAAACTTGACAAATGCGAGTAATCGCAACGAGCGTTGTCTCGCGATAAATCGTCGAACGGGGTTTAGTTTAACAAACGCTAACGCGTAAAAAGAGAAATACACCAGTCAGCGAAGAGCAATTTATTCAGTCCGAGTAACGTAACGAAAGGAAACGAACGGTCGCATTGAAAAAGTTGACTCCGACCGAGCTTCCATTATAATCCCCACGAATGCTCGCGTTCGATCGATTATCCTAAAAAATTTAGGGCAATGATTTCGCAACATCTCGTTCGGTTGCACCATATGGCAGAGTCCCCCCGAAAGATTATCAATAGACAGCCGACTGGTAATCGATCGAGTCTCGCGGTCTAAATAAGCGAATTCTCCCTTGGACGAATAATTAGGTAGTAAACGGAGAAAAGTCGAGAGGGGTCCGTGAGCTACCAGGTTGTCGGACGTAGTCACCCCCTCTCGCGTTGGCCGAGGTGGTCAACTCTTGACGTACACACGTACCTACGTTACAACGAGCAACGTAACGCAACGTGGAATGGCGTGAATGCGTAATTTACTTGGAACCGATGGCAGAATTGAGGCGGCGGTGGATGGCGGGTTCACGGTCTGTTAACCAAAGGGGGATTTTTCCTCTGTTCTACGAAATATTCGAACCCCGAAGCGTTTGAATCGGTGGCCCAGACGACGTTGGATAGGTTGGTCTTTCGCGTGGAAGTCAGTCTTCGCGTGAAGCGAGTAAGCGAGTAAAATTATCTGCCTCCTCGAGTCGGTGCAGGAACGAGCAGGAGAAGAAAAGAGAGAAAACGGTGACTTTTCCACCCGCTTGGACGACGCTCCCTCCGCCTAATTGGCGAGAATGACGCACGACCCTTGTAATTGCTCGAACGAACCGAAGAAACCGAAGGATGATATGTTTCTTCCTCTGGCAAACTGTGTTGCTTTTCTCGTTTTCCTTCGAAATTTCACTTATCGCATTACTTTCTCTCTCTCCCGATTTCCTCGGGTGTAATATTTCCGGAGACGTTTCTTTTCTGTTTTTTCTTTTTTTTTCTTCTTACAAAGCGAATGGCAAGAGTCTCCGATGAGAAGGTAACCGTCGGAAGGACCGAACGCCGCGCCGTTTCGTAAACCCCTGAATCCCTTTTCATCTTCCTTAATCGAATGTCTTCACGGTGGCCGATGACCACTATCCGCTTTCCGTAGTCTCCTTCTACGGTTAGATTTAAGGCGTCACGGGACATTAAGCGTCGCTACTCGCCACCCTTGGACACTCGTACGCGGTCCGAGAGGAGAGGCAAGTATGAAAGAAGGATTCGGAAGTCGCTCGTTGGATAATTATCGTAAATTCACCAGCTTGCTGCCCGTGACGATTCCCCGTGGGACAAACGTCGTCTCCTGTAGCGAAGCAAATTTCTGTATATCTACAGCCACGTCTCGGCCACTTTTCATCGTTAACCGTCGAAATTGTGGAAATTGAAACGTGGCTGGTAGACAAAGTGTACCAAGTTGCGGACAGTCACTTCATCGAAGAAGTTTCCCCGGAAAACCGACGCGGAGAACTGGGTGAAATTTCTCCGACCCACCGTGGTCGAAACATTTACGTAACACATATGGCAGAAAACGCTGGAGAAGTGTAAATTAGCGGGCGCGAAGAAGTTGACGGTGTGGCGCGCGATTGCGGACAGGAGCGATGCACGGCGGACCGTAACTAAACGCGGCTAAAGAAAAGGGCAATCGAGAATATGGAAATATATGGAAAATAGCTCGAAGACCGTTTCCCCAAGGAACACATATGGAAGCTATTTCGAGGGTTGTCGAGCAACGAGATCACTGTTACGGTGGTCAAAACTGCATCTGTGGTTTCGGTGGAGACCCCTCTACGCGTTACAAAACGTCGGACACTGATCAGTCTTGACGCATGCTGGCATCTCTCACGATCTTCCCCTACCGAGTTCCCAAAATCGTCGCGTTTATAATAGAAGCCGATCGATCATACCGAGTCTAAGGAAAATTCAAATTCTTACGTAAATTCTCGTAAGAAAATTCTTACAAATATATGTACACAGGAGGAACGTTCTATCGTTGGTTGAACGTTGATCCGAAGACACTTGGCCGAAAGTGTGTTACCGTCGCATGCCACCGCGAACGAGAATACCGGGAGGAAAGGCGTCCTGGAAAAAGATGCGAAATTCTTTGGCGAATCCTCGTTTGCTGGCGAGGAAACGAGACAAAGGCGAGAGAAGATCTGGTAGACGTGGGGTCCAGGCTTGGCTCATAATTTTCCTTGGGCGGCGGGCGACGCGCGACGTGTACGTGTCACCGCGTCGCGACGCACCCGTCCGTCTCATCGTGACTGGAACACCAAAAACGAACCTTCCGCTATTTTATTACCGTCCTCCGTTCCCAGCGGAGATTCCTCGGTTTTTTCCCTCGAAAGAATAAACCGGCACGCGTCGCGCGATCTCTGAACGATGGTTATTTAAATAGGTACGCTGGCGTTGGCGAGCAAGCTGCGAAACGCGGAGGTTGAAGTGGAATCAGCGAAGCAACCCCGAGCAATAACTGTTCGCGAACGAGATACATGTTGTGCTCCTCCATTTATTTCGAGGAAAATAATTCGGTCTAAGCGATCGTGGAAAGTGGGCAGCGAGAGAACGGGCGCACAGCCGCGTTTTATTGGGCCAACACGGTTGACAGCAAGAGTGACTGCGCTCGTAAAAGCCTCGTATAAATAAAATCGCCGGGAATATAATTGTTGCTGAGAGCCTAGCCGGCTACGTTCCTTCTAACGTGGTGGTATAGCAGGCGGTCAGCTGTCGCCACTCCGTTCTCCAGCATTTTATCGAATTAAGTAAAACCGTTCGCGCACCCTTTCCTCTCCGATCGTAAACTCGAGCAACCGATATTACGTCTCGCGATCGCTTCTAGAACACGGCTGCCGTCGGACGTTATTCGACGTATTTCGACTTGCCGAAGAAAAGGCTAGAAGGCTCGCTTACTTGCAGACGTTCAATAGAGATCGGGTGAGAAAAGAGATAAGGTAAAACGGGAGAGAACGAGATTTTTAGGGTAGAAGGTTTCTGACCCGTACTCTTTTACCCTTGTTTGCCTATCTACCAGTCACAGTTCCTTCTTCTCTTTATACTCTATATTTTCTCGCAATGTTGGGTGGAGTGTCGTTAATGTTAACAGCGACGGAGAAGTTGCAAAATGTTAGGGACGACACGCGCGATAAAAGGAAATTTGCCGGCGCGTAGGAGAAAGGATCGAGGGCTGGCGTTAAGGCGAAATCGTTACTCGACACCGTTGTGTAACGAGAACCGAGCCGCTGCTATGAAGAAGACCAATGTTGCAGCGCATAAAGAACCGTGGTTCATCCTGAAAACTGAAACCACCGTAACGCCGGCGCCTCCCGCTTCTTCTTTTTCCACAAGCCAAAGTGCGAAACGAAAGGAGAAACGTGGAATTGGCAATTCAGTCGGAACGATGAAAAATGTTGAAGGGTGAAATTCCTGGATAGCGATAGCGTGGCGCGTCTTTTTACCCCGAAGGGTTGTATCCGGAAAACAGCGGTATCGTTTAGAAACCAATGAGCTTCTAATGAAGGTGGAGCTTGCCGAGGAAATCTCCACCTACTCTTAAAATGCTCTATTTCTCTCCTCTCCTGCGTGCGTGTCTCCCTGCGTAAAAGGCAGAACGAGACGAGGGAGAGCGTACGCGGCCAAGAGAGAGGAGGAAAGGGAGGGAGAGAGAGACAAATGAAGAGGCTGAGGAGGATCTTCAAGTACGTTTTAACTCAGCCAAGTCAGTTGGCATCTCGCCGCACCGACTAATACGATGGCTTCGTTTCACAGTTTTCGAAACGATCTTTCGACCAAATCGATCGGCGGCCAGTTGTGATTTACGCGCGATTCGTACGAAACCGGCCGCTTGGAGGTTGGATGGGGGGAACGCTCTGTAATTTTATAGTGGGTGATTATCGCGTCTAGTTTGCTCGTACGCGAGATAAAAGTTGATCTTTCGAGAACGGTGTTATCATCGGGAAGGAATTTTCTACGCCGTTAAAAAGAAACTTTTCCGTGTAAAGTGCCCGTTCCGAAGACTTTGTCGGTCAGCGTTGCTTCCTCGTGCAGCGATAGTTGCCTCGACCACAATTTTTCCGGGGCAATTGTAAAGAGGGAATCTCTGTCGGTCCTTTTCCTGTTCAAATGATCGACAGTTAATGGTCACGGGCTCGTAAAACGGGCTCGAAGGCGAAACGCGAATTTGTCATACATCGTTGGCGCAAAGAATCGATTGGAAGTAAGCGCCGGGAACTAACAAGCGAGAGGGATTTTTATAATAAACGATAATTGGAGCAACACGGCTCTCTCTCTGTCCCGTCTAATTTACATGTTCCATTCGACGCGGAAAATAAAAAGGCACCGGGCGTCGGCCTGAGCCACCCCTCTTTTGCATTCGGTGAGAACGGATCACGATCGAAAGATCTGCGGTGATTATCGAGAGCAATAAAAGCATCGTAATTTTGGAGAAGCGATAAAACGTTTTCCGGTGGTTTGTAAACACATCGAGTAGGCACGCGGCACGAGGCCTTAATTGCTCCGTCACGCTTCACCTCGGAGATGTTTCAATTAGGATTTTCGGGAGCAAATTGCGCGTGAAATTTTCGCTGCTCGTAAATAATCGTTTCGTCCCGATGAACAACTTGTACTTTTTGAAGAAACCGTTCGTTTGCGAAGCCGAAGGGCAGGAAATGTCCCCTTACGAATCGATAAATACTCGCTTGGATATTTGAAAACGATCGATTCGAAAGAGGCTTCGTGTACCACCGTGTGAAAAAGCACTGTGATCGGTACCGGACAGAGGGAAGAGGTGGGGCAAGTAATAATCGATAGGAAAGGAATAAAAATGTTGTGTGGAAACTCGGAACAAGCGGGAAACAGCGGTGTGATAGTTTCGCAGGTCGTGAATCCTCATACGCCGCAAGATTTCACGGTCTCGCGCCTACTATCGACACCAACACCGACTCATTCGTTGGGTAAGAATTCTGAGAATATTATTTTTATGGTGTGCATACCAAGCATACCGAGAAAAATCGTTCTGGCAAGAAATCAATTTCTTTCCATCTCCCGATGCGAAATAACCATAACGTTGTTGTTAACTTCCCGTTGATCTCGTACGAAGATGTAGCCGATTTTTGCACAGTTTCTTGGGTAGAATTCACGTGAACACTTACGTAAGACTAAAGGGGGAATTATCGAACGTAGTTGTAGATCGCGCGGTTCGCAGAGAGAGAGAGAGAGAGAGAGAGAGAATATGTGCATGCTTGACGCGCTTCCGCTACGTTTAATCCGTGATCCACGACGAGTTTGATTTCATCGAAATCACGCATTTCCAGTCATGCTGTTCGCGTTATGCCGCTTTGATGGATGCTCAAGCACAGTGGAGTCATTCAAGAATAGCCACGCCTGTTCTCTGCTGCTTCTCTTCTTTGCCCTTTCCCTTTTTTTTTTTCTTTTTTTTTTCCCCAAGCGTTGCTTGTTTATCGCGAGCGGCATCTGCGAGAATTCTGGCTGGATTTTCGCTTTGTCTAGCACGAATTTCGGATAACGATGTACGATTGTTCGGATGTACGATTTACAGAGTGCAACGAGAGTTCGAGCACAGCGGCTAGTAGGAGGCCGAGAAGAAGTAGAACGACATTCTCGGCGCAACAATTGGCAGCGTTGGAGAGGGTGTTCGAAAGGACGCATTATCCCGACGCTTTCGTTCGAGAGGAACTTGCGACGCGGGTATCTTTGTCGGAAGCCAGAGTACAGGTAAATATCCGCTCCGGGGAAACTCGAGAAAAGAAGCGCGGCAAGAAGTTGTTGGCAATTGGTGGAACGTGGAGAACGAACTGAAATGAAGAGAATCGAAAAAAAGGTGACGATACTTGGTAAAAGGGAAGAATGTCCGTCAGAAAAAGTATCGTGTCGCCGGTGGGCCAAGTTCACATGTGTTCCTCGGGATTATGGTAGCCAGGAGGAAGGCGTGGAAAAGAGAAGACGTGTGAGAGAGAGAGAAGAGGGAAAGACGGAAGGGGGGGGGGGGGGGGGGGGGGGGGGGGGTAGCTTGGCAGGATAGTTGCGTCGTTCCAGCAGCATGTGTGCTTGGCATACGACGTAGCGTATCTAGCACGTGTGCGGTGGCGGCTCTCTTACACGGCTATGCAGAAAGCAGACTTTTCGTTGCTCGTGTCGATCCGTCCACCGTTGCTTGTCGGTTGCTGTTCCACGTCCCGCGTCTCCCACGGATGTCTGTCTGCGAACTGTACGCCTGCCAGGAGCCGTCACGCTGTCCCGTCTTCGCAAAGCCGCATCCCTTCTTGTGTCCGTTCGTTTCTTCTTCTCCTCCTCTTTCTTCTCCCTCCTCCCTTCTCCCTTCCTCCGACGAATTCTTCATTCTTGAAAACCCCATAAAAACCTTCGACCCTTGAGTCCCCGTTTCGTTTCACCACGAATCCAATTCAACAGTCGGAAATATTACTTGCAGGTATGGTTTCAGAACAGACGCGCCAAGTTTCGTCGAAACGAAAGAAGTTCTGCGATTAATCGGGGCATCTCCTCGAACAGAGAAATGGAAACTACTTTACCCTTACGACCGATCAGAGTAACGCACACGCAGGAGAACAATACGGAAAATTTGCAGAGCTCGCAAATGCCGCAGTACCCTTACAGCGAATACTGGCGATCGTCTCAACACTACACCACCTCTATGCAAACCACCACCTGCCATGGATTTATCAACGGCAATCTGGCAAACGTGAATCTTCCCTCGTATCATCAGACGGAGATTCACGGTGGACTCGAAGGTACTGCGATGACCAGTTTGAACGCGTTGCGATTCAGAACGCATCCGTACGGAACCGCGTACTCCGCTATGCACGCGAGCATGTAACTCTCTTTTTACAGAAGAAAAATCTCTCTCTCGACCGTGATGCTTGTTGTCGTTGTCAAGCGTCACGTGTATTTTATCGAATGCCAAAGCTTCTATACGTTGATCTAAGGGAAACGTAAGATAATGTAATACGGAGGACCAATCGATCGAAACACGATTGCATAGAAGTTAGCGTTTAAGCACCAAACACAGGGTAATGAAAATAACTCGCAACGTTATTTTGTAGAACTGAAATAGCTTAATAAATCATCAAAATTGTAAATGTATTATCTTCTTAATACAAGACATCTATACAGGAAACAGTATGTTCGCCTACAAAGTTATTATTATCTTATGTATGTTTGATCATAGAAAAGAAAGTATACACGAATACGGAGATCGAACTGTGGAAGAAAACGGGTCGTCGAAAATTACAGTCGTCAAATGAATATGGTCACGTGTACACACATAGTATAAGAACATTGGCACGAAATTATAATACATATTTTCGCATAGTACATTGGTCGTCAGTCAGACATATGTATAATTCGTCACACAAACGCTAAACGAGCTAGAACCCACGTAAAAAGATTCAAAAAATGTCTTCTTACTCATCCGTAAGATGAGTTAAGATGTTAATCATCCGTCCAAGAATTCTTAAATATAGGGATACATTTTTCAGTACTATACCGTTACTTGTACATTCTGCACAGCATTGCTCCAATCCACTTTCGAAGGAACCAGATAAAATGCAGGCGCTATTTTGCTACCACACGGACACTGGCTACCTGCTATCCAACTGAAGGAGCCCAACTTTGTACTGCACTTTGGACAATTCAACTTTCCCTCTACGTTGTGCGTTATATCGGGCATCCAAGCCAACGGCTCCACGAACAGTATTTTCGTACAAAATTCTACCGGTTGTTGCTCCTCTTTGTTCCGCTCTAACGGTCCTAAAGGCTCGTGCGAACTTTTTGATTGTTTAGACGTTTTTTTCGAACTTATATGTCTCCAAATTTGTTTCTCCTTCGGCATGTGCGGCAGAATGTTGCTAGCGCTGGCTACGATCCTTCGACACTTTTTGCAACGATAAACCGTTGGTTCTGGACGTACCGTAGCCAGAGCTGGATCTGGTTTTATCAGTTCTGCACAGTTTTGTGGTAAAATTTTTGCTTTTCGCACCTTGTCCGCCGCTATTTGTAACCTGTACATTTTAAATTGTACATTCGTATTGTCTATCCCAAAACCCATTGCTTCGTAAAGTTTCAACTGTGCTAGAAACCCTGCATTCGGTCCAACGAACCGTCTCTTTTCTCTCACTGCTTCAAATGTATCGATGAAACTCTTGCCATATTTTTTCATTAAATATGCAATAACAATTGTTGCTGATCTAGAGACACCAAAGTAACAGTGTACCAATATTTTGTCGTTTACCTGTAGAGTATGATCTATAAATTCGTACGAATCTTCAAAGTGGGTCAGCAGATCTTCACGTGGCATATCGGTAACTTGAATGTATTTTATAGTCAAATTTGGTAAAAGCTCTTGGATCTTTCTAGGAAGAGGACAAGAATCTACAGTAAGTATGTAGTTTATTTTAGCTTCTCTTAACCATTCAATATCTGTAGCAGCTGTAAGATTCCCAAGAAATAAACCAGGAATAATTTCATCGTAACTTGAGGGACCTGCGTCAAAATCTTCTCTGATTAACTTATCTGTACTTTCTTGTGCCATATCGATTACTCTGAAATAGAAAATAGAGGGCTGCCACACGAATATTTCACGTTTACCAATTTATTCTGTCAATTGTAATACAAAGTACACATGTAAAAAATATTAAATTAAATTACAATCAAACGAAACTTCTGTAAAGTAAGTGTAATAACTTAAATAAAAGAAACAAACTGTGGTACCTACAAGTACAGATACGTCTACTCGAGTAACAGAACGTACAATTTCCGAAATCTATTTACATACGTATGAAACATGCTCTAAATGCAAAGTGTATTCTTTTTATTACCTCGCTTAAACGTATCACAAGTAATTGTAGTATTTCAGATCGTAGATCTGAACAGTCGTAGTTGTACGTGTATTATTTGAATATTAAGAAAAATAAGCGATAGGAGCCGCATCTTTATTATTTCTTTACGAGATGAAAAGTTTTTCTCCACCAAACACATTCAACAAGCCTCGAGCACTGGTTACAGTTGTTGACGTATGGCTATGATGGCGCTTCAGTAGCGTTACATTTTTTTATGGTTCAGTTCTAAAATCACGAGCAGTTCTTAACAAAACTTGTCGCTTCTTTTTATATTTTTTACATCGTTGGACCAATGGTTAGAAATTGTTGCACTTGATTACTTGGCTCGAAAAATTTGTACTTTAACCGTTTTATATATGAGATACGATACGTTTTCTGCTTCCTTCGATGCACCGAATGGTATCGATCGACGATTCTTCAATGGAAATCATCTTAACTGCCATTACCACTTTATTATAAATTGCTTAATGAACGTTTCGTTTAAACGTAAATACTCTGGTTTCCTCCAATTTACACATCTGCATACGTACGAAAATTATTATCTTGTGAAAGTTATTATCTTAATACGTGGATATTTTTGTGAATACCAATGCTGTATACGACGCAGTGGTGAATACAATGCCTGCAGCTTAAAAGTGCGCGCGCGTATTTGTTCTGTAAAAATTACACTCGCTATTTAGATAAAATATTCCTTACCGTTAGATAATTAAGGAAAATTAATCAACTCCGGCGAAAGGTGCAAACTATGAATTTCTATTTGTTAAGTAATACTTTAAATTGTTAAACTGTATTCGAAAGAAATTTGGACAAATTTTCTCTCGTTATTGCATCGACGTAAACTGATAAAGATTTGCGTATTTATACATTTCTGTGATATTAAAGAACGGTGTTATTTTTTTATAATATGTACGTGCATACATAGAATAGAAAATACACCGTTGGAAGTTGATACGCTTGGTAAAAAAGGAAAAGGTGACGAAGAAGGGTCGGACAAGACTATGGCTGGGAAGCATTAAGGAATTTGAAAAAAATTTATAATTTAGGTAGCCGATCTCTATAGTTTCGAAAAGATCACGGCATAAGTTGTTCGACACGTATGCCGGAAGTGACGCGTACCTCGATCTCCACATCATACAGAGGAGTTGCGAGGAGTATCGTTCATACAGTCGTGCATAGTACGTACTGTACTCGCCTGTTCCGTGTTTCTCCAACTTTCTCCCTCTCTCCCTCTCCTTCTCTGTCTTCGTCTGCTCTTTTCTATCGGTATCACTTGCGTGCGCGCACGTGTGTATATGTAAGTGTATGGGTATTTTTTGATTTTTAAATAAAACAAGATGCTGATCTCGCAGGAGGTGATCTCAAAAGCGGAAGAAATCGCTGATCAGGTGAATTTATAGGCCATTGTGCTCGATTTATTCTTTTTCACGAATAGTTCTGTTTTCGCGAAGAAACTCGTAATAGAAGATCAGCAGATATCCTGTAGGAGCACAGGTGTACTCCTGTCAACGTCATCGTGACACGGTTGCTATATACATTCGCATATTTTAATTTGAATCTTTTCATTTCTTGATTATTTGTTAACACAACGTTTTTTTTAATATCATTAACTGTTGTAAACTGCCTTATATTATGATCTGTATGCTAAAAAATTAAAGGTTATGCATCATCTAAGAAATGTATGTTACGAATGATACTGTCCCTCCCGGTTCTAATCAGGCGAAAATTTCTCTTGCAGTTTCATTTTCAAATAAGCCGAATTAATAAAGATTGCGATAATATCCAGAAGAACGTTAGATTTTATCGTTGCTCCGTATCTATCTCTCTTTATATAGTACTTTTCTTACTATCATTACACCTTGTCACACATACACACATTCGTTCATTTCCTGCTGCTACAAGTCTGTTTTATTACTTGCTTTATACATTGTATTCAGATATATTTCAAATATGTATGAAAAACTACATCGATAATATTCCACATATCAACTTATTATTGTGTTCTTAATATTTTTCTAACTATGATCCTTTTATAATAACAGGTAATCCGCAATGGAAAACACATATTGCCAACTCTTGCAAGACTTTGTCTTATAGCCACATTTCTAGAAGATGGATTAAGAATGTGGTTTCAATGGTCGGAACAGAAAGAATTTATGAATAACAGTTGGCATTGTGGCACGTTCTTAGCTACAATGTTTGTCTTGGTTAATTTAATTGGGCAGCTAGGTGGTTGTGTTATGGTTATTGGCAGATGGAAAGTCAGCATTGCCTGTGGAATCCTGTTTTTCATAGTTGTCCTTCAAACACTAGCTTATGACATTTTATGGGATATAACATTTCTATTCAGAAATTTGGCACTGATAGGAGCCCTTCTTTTGGTTCTGGCTGAATCAAGAGTAGAAGGAAGATCATTGTTCGCCGGTGTACCAAGTCTTGGAGATAATAAACCTAAAAATCTCTTACAATTGGCTGGCAGAATTTTGTTAGCATTTATGTTTACTACGTTAATTCGCTTTGAAAAATCATTCCTCCAAATTATGCAAGATATTCTTGGAAGTAGTTTAATGGTATTAGTGACTATTGGATATAAGACCAAACTCAGTGCATTGTTACTTGTCTTATTATTGTCTGCACTGAATCTTTATCATAATGCATGGTGGTCCATTCCAGAGTATAAAGCACTTAGAGACTTTCTCAAGTATGACTTCTTCCAGGTAATTTTTCAATAGTTTCTTTGCAAAAATTCTATGCTTCCATTATAAATAATATAAACCTAATTTTTTACAGACATTATCAGTGATTGGTGGCCTTTTAATGATAGTCTCTTTAGGTCCTGGAGGTGTATCAATGGATGAGCATAAAAAAGAGTGGTAGGGGTAATGGTATCACCTGAATGCACACCATTACATTGTCATGATCATTAAGTAACAGCAGTCTCCCATTCCTGTTCCTTTATATGCTCAATCAAGTCTATAATAAGTTTATTGTTTATTGGACAAGAAGCTATAAGATACATTCGTTTTGAATTATTCAGTTTGGGTAAAGGAATTGTTAAAATAGAGTTTAAAATGTGTACTCCAAGTCACAAATTAAAATACATGGAACTACAGACAAGAGAAAAAAAAATAAAAGACTCCAAAATAGTACTGCTAAGGCAAAAACAAAAAGAAGACAACACCAAGACTAATTTATATTATCAATAATGGCATTGTACATATGACACCACATTTATCAATGAAACAAAATATATTTTTTCTGTGTGTTTTTAATTTTCTCTAGTTTTGATCGTGAATCCTAGTCGGATTTATATGCATGATTTTAAATGTCAATGTATTCTTCCATAGGATTACAGTTAAGTTACTTCATTAAATTTATAGAGGGCAGAATAATAAAAATATTAAATTTTCGAGATTTTTATACGATTAAATTATTGTAAATAAATATTCCATTTCAGATTCTCATTCTTGATATTTATTATTACAATCTCCATTAGTCAGTTGTTAATTAGTAATTACCATACAGTAGACTCCCTCCTCTTATCCGGCTCCAGCCTTAACCGGCTAATAGTTTCCGTTGAAACAAACTGTAATTTTTCTATAGTACATAGTAATGAACTTCGATATATGTATGTGAAAGCAATCGGCAACCGTTGCGCATCAAACTCATCGTCAGCCATATCGAAGCTCATTATTGATTTCTTTGTATAAATAAACGTTTGATAAACATTATTTCTTCGTATGTTTTTCAATGACATTAATCGGATATTATATTATATTTAGATATTACGTGTGAATAATCAATACTATATGCATATATGTATCTGTTTTTTATTTTATTTACAACTTACCCGGTCCCATACGGGCCGGTTACGAGGGTGTCTACTCTATGTAGGATTAGCTAATAATAAGTTTGCTAAAATAAGCTGATCTCAAAATAGGCAGTAACTACATTTACATGAACAAAGCGAGAAACCTATAGAATCATTTCATGCTATCCTTCGTCACTTGATACATTACAAGCAAAACGGAAAACATTTATTTCAAATAAATAACACATTTCCAAATGAGGATACAAAATGGATATAAACGATTATCCGTCGCTAATGGAACAACTATTTTAACTGCAAAGCCTTTCGCTTATGTTTTACAATCTTTACATCGTAGTGAAAAGTGCGATCATTGTTTACAAAGGTAATTGCATTTAAATGAAATTATGGTACATACAAGTGCGTACACTGTTTCTCATATGATATCGGCTTTTATTCCGAACCATGTCCTGTGTTTATTAAGCGAACTGTTTGCTCGCTACTCGTACCTATTATGAATATATTTTCTAACTGTTGAATTAATTGAATTCATAAAAATTAATAATATAAAAATATGAACGCAGCGTTAATTAAATAGGTTTTAAGTTATACCGTAGGTTAGGAGATCTGTTAAAGATGAGTAAAAATGAAAACTTCATGAAAAAAGGAACTACTATTTTTACGACTAAACCATTCGTTTATATCCTTAGTTCAGAGTACAGAACCGATCGATGTGATTATTGTTTAGAAAGGTGTATTTTTAGTATTTTTTAACAATTTCTTAATTTGGATAACATCTTTTTTTCACCGCTTCACGGTTTGATAATATTATAATAACAATATTAGGAATTATCTATGTCAAAAGTAATGTAGCATTGAAATAATTTTATTTCTTTCAGTGGAAAGCTCTTTAGATGTTCTGGTTGTCAATACGTTTACTACTGTAATCGATCTTGCCAACAAAGTTCTTGGTCCACGCATAGAAAAGAATGTGCAAATTTAAAAAGAATTTCACCAAAAGTTATACCAGACATGGCAAGGCTTATGGCACGTATTATTATAAAATTAAATCAAGGTGGAGGTGAAGAAATAGGTTATTATAGTAATACTAGTTACAGAAAATTTAAGGATTTAATGTCCCGTAAGTAATTCACACAATTTAGAAAATTAAGCCATATTATTTGTATATTTTCATTCAATCAGTGCTTAAATTATTACATTTAGATTATTCTGACATAAAACGGGATAAGAAAAGAATGGAACATTTTGTGTGTTTATGTGGTGTTTTACATACATTTTTGGAAGATGTACCTATACCAAATTCTGCAGAGTTAATGGGTATTTATGGCAGAATTTGTATCAACTCCTTTAATATACTTGACTTGGATATGAATAGTATTGGTATTGGCATTTATTTGGGACCTTCTGTCATGGATCATAGTTGTAAGCCTAATGCTGTGGCTACCTTTGAAGGAGCCACTATAATCATTAGAACAATAGAAGATCTTCCTTGTTTAGACTGGTCTCAGGCAAGGTTTTATATTTCTTTTATTTTCATAATATTATATTGAAATTTTTATTACAATTGTAACTGAACACATATAGATAAGAATATCATATATTGACATACTTAAAACAACAAAAGATAGACGTGCAGAACTACAAAGTTCATATTACTTTTGGTGTAATTGTAAAAAATGTGAAGAACCAGAACCAATGGCAGAGGCTGCAGCATGTCCAAATAAATGCTGTACACATCCTTGTTCCCCTAGTGCAGACATATGTGAGAATTGTAATACAAAATTCCCAGAGGAGTTCGAAGAAACTTTTGAAGAAGTATCTGAATTTACTGCACATCATTTACAAAACATGAAGAATGTTGCTTGTATCCTTCTTTTAAATGATATTGGTTAGTAATAGCAGTTTAGTCATTCCTACATACATATAACGCCCTTATAAGAGAAATCAGATTTGGATATATGCAAAATGTGTCTGGAAAAGCAAGAAGGTATTTTACATCCACTCAATGTACAGCATGTGCAGACTTTACAAGCTGCTTTTGATTCTTCTATAAGTTTACAACATTGGGAGGAAGCTGAGTCATATGCTGAAAGACTTATTAATGGCTACTTGTAAGAAAGACATTTTCTTAATGTATTAATTTGATAAGTACAAAGTAATATTATGCTTTCATGTTTTAGAGCATATTATGGAGAAGTTCAACCATTGATTGGAATATTATATCTCATGATAGGCAAAATTCAGTTATATTTGGAAAAGCCAAAACTAGCTCTTGAAGCATTGAAGAAAGCTAGCGCAGTACTAACAATAACGCACGGGGAAAAGCATGCTGTAATGCGAGAATATTTGAGACCTCTTCTTTATCAAGCTACCATGGAAGGAGTTTAATGCAACATAATATTTCCTACATTGATAATGTACAATTTTATGTGATACGTTGATAATTTACAATTTATAATAAACAATTTTAGTATTCGAAAACGTGGAATTAACTGTAACCCTAATGAAGAATATATGCATGAATTTATATGCAACATATGATAAGATTTGAACCACACAATTTTCATTAGTGCCAACCTTACAATACCGCTATAAATATTTATTGCTTAAAATAAAGTACGTAAAAGATCGCAAAAATGTGTAAACGTTTAAGTACTTCAATATCATTTTTAACTCCCAATAGAATTTAACAATACCATAAATATTATACAACAAATGGTTTGTTACCAACATCACGGCAAAAAAAATAAGTACAGCTGCTAAGTGACAGCTGCTTAAGTTTTATTAGATCGGTTATCTGTTTCGAATAAATTTTTATTTTTCACCGAAAAATTGAAGTAACATGTGGTAAACAATTATTTTCACTTTAGAAATCGTTGAAAAAATACTTGAAATAATATGTTTACATCCCTAGATAAACTGTTTTGTATACAGTGTAACATGATTATAACAGGCATTAGTTAATATCAATTTGTTTTTTAACATGTAATTTTTCACATTTTTCACGGTTTAGAGTTGTTAGTAGAGATGTCCAATATCTAGTTGTCCAAGTACAGTGAAATTAGAAACACATTTGTCACTTCATAAAGTTTGGATGACTTTTTAAAAATATGCTTTATCTTAAATTAAAACATTTTATATCCTTGTTTTAATTATTTCAAGCATGTTGTAAACAACTAATGATAACTAATCTAAATGTTTTAAATTTATGTAGAACTCTACTGCATCAAAACAAAAAATTTCAATCACTTGTATTTTTTCTGTTTAGATATCTGTTTGAAGATCATTAAGGAAAGGTCCTTATCTAAAATATTATTCATTCAATTGAAAAGAAACACACAATGTTCTCTGCATTTAAAAGATTAGCCGGAAAGTCTGATGGAGTTGGCAATGTATCTCTTAGACCAGCTCATCAATCTATGCCAACAACTTTACAAAGAAAATTTGCTAAAGGCGTACAGTATAACAGTAAGTATAGTAAACTTACTTCAGCAAGAAAGTAAATTGCTTCAACTAACGGGAATTCTATTTTAGTGAAAATTATTATAAAAGGTGATAGAAATGTAGGAAAAACTTGTCTATTTCATAGACTTCAAGGCCAAAAATTTATAGAAGAATATATACCAACAGAAGAAATACAAGTAACCAGTATTCAATGGAATTATAAAGCTACAGATGATATTGTCAAAGTTGAAGTTTGGGATGTTGTAGATAAGGGTCGACGTAGGAAAAAATTGGAAGGTTTGAAAATGGACAATTCACAGTCTGAAAATATTGAGGAGCCTGCTTTGGACGCAGAGTTTCTTGATGTTTATAAAGGGACCAATGGTGTTATTATTATGATGGATATTACAAAATCTTGGACATTTGATTATGTACAAAGAGAACTTCCAAAAATTCCTAGCCACATCCCAGTTATTGTCTTAGGAAATCATTGTGATATGGCACATCATAGAACAGTTACATCGGATCATGTGACATATTTTATTGATTCCTTACACGAAAGAACAGCGCAAGTAAATTTGTCGCTATTATTAGTTATAAATATTTTAGATAACATGTTCCTAACATTCTACTTTGTCATTTTTCACAGGTAAGATATGCAGAATCATCTATGAGAAATGGCTTTGGATTAAAACTTCTGCACAAATTCTTCAATCTTCCTTTCCTTCAATTGCAAAGAGAAACATTATTGAAACAACTTGATACTAATGAGGAGGAGACACGTTTGACAATACAGGAACTTGACCTCTTTCAGGACAGTGATGATGCCAATTATAACAAATTCTTGGATAATCTTGTTAACAGAAGAAGAGCAATTGCTGACTCTGTCTCTGCCAGTATTCTAGTCCCTAATGTTACATCTTCTTTGAGTAATCATAATATATTATCTTCCAATGGCAACACAAATATAAATGCTGAAGTAAAACGATCAATTTCCATGCCTGCTGGTCCTATAGGAGGTGGAACCCCTATTCCGGTAAAAAGTCTAGATTTAAAATCACTACCAAAGAAGGAAAATTTTATAAATACTTGTGAAAATCAAGTAGTTCCTAGTAAAAGCTCACAGGCCATATCAACATTGTCCCCTACACAAAATATTTCAAAAACAGACACCAAGGTGGCTGAATTGTTAAATGATAATACTGATAGGCGAGATTCGATTAACAAGCCACAATCACTTATGTCAAAGATATTTGGTAATAAAAAGGAAGATGAAGTGGACAAAGTAATACACGTTAATAACTCGAGTACGAACGTACCGTTAACTAGCGTTGAAGACTTTGTTCCGGACGATGGACCTTTAGATCGATCGTTCTTAGAAGATAGTAGTCAAATTTCACCACAAAAGGTACAGCATGACGAACTGGATTCTGAAAGGTATGCTGCGTGTACACAAATAAAACAAACTGGTCGGTAGTTTCGTTACTTTTAATATTTGAAATGTCGTACTTTTAACAGTGATACTGAAACTGCGAACCCTTTGGTTGCCGGTTACGAAGATGATTTATCATCGACCGACGAAGCAACACCTCCCATACAACCGAAATTGGCTGAGAATCCGTTGAGCAAACAGAAACACAAACGCGAAACTTTATCAAACGCAGAAATAAATTCAGAAAAATTACGACAAATCACTAAACGTGATTCTATTTCATCTATAGACCAAGAATTCCAAATATCGAGCAATTATGATATAAATGAGCAACAAGGGATTAATTCGGACGCGTTCGATAGTTGGCTCCGTCGTGATTCCAAATGGAGGCAAAGTCCCGAAGGCGGTGAAGATGTAAGCAGTAACAGCACCAGAAAAGACAGACTGGAGTTGAGTGATAAAAGTTTAGACGTTAGTGTAACAAGTTCTAATGTTCATTTAGAGTTACTCGACAATACTAGTGTACGTCATATGAGTTCTGATGGTGGCAGTCCCGTGTTAAGAGAAAAGAAGAAACATAAAGAGAAGGCATGCATAAGTTGTAACATACTTTTAATGTAATTCGACTCGTTTTCTTGTAACATTATCACAAATTAACAATATTTTTAGGCGGAAGACAAAGAGAAGAAAAAGAAGAAAAAGTCTAAAGACAAAGAGAAAGATAAAGAGAAAACAGATAAAGTAGAAAAGAAAAAGAAACGTTCGTTACATCGTACCAGAGATGAAAAGAGAGAACGCGATGAACTTGAAGAATTTCTTAATGGTTCTGTAACTAGAATTGGTGTCGATGTTGCCTATGAAGAAATATAGCGTTCTCAACTGACATTTCATTTCATTTCTAATTAGTAACGTTGTCTTCTGGTAAGACGCGTTAAAACGTCATTTAATATTGAATTTGCAAATATGAATTTCATATTAATGCTTGCAAATATTTTTAAGGCAAGCGATATATGATATAAAAGTTCTGTTGATATAAAACTGTTAATATCCTTTATATGATAAAATAATGTCATCAACTGTAACAAAGAACTTTTGACAAATAATTTTTCATTAAACACTGTTCGTTAAATGATTAATATATACATACATACATTTATCAGATTAGCATTCCATAAAAGATTTAACGTAAAAATGGGTGTAATATTATTTTAAATTTAAATATACATTTTATCACTGTATATTAAAATTATTTATTTTGATACATCGAAGTTTTACCAATTAAATCATCGATGAAGCTTCGTGTTAATAAGTGTAAATAAATAAATAAGAAATTGTCATATTAAATGATAATCTACTTTCAAACTTCCCACTGAACGTAAACGCCCTCTTTTAAACTTCACGGCGTATCTGTTGAAACTTCTCGAAAATGTAATCGAAGCATGTGCGAATTTGCCGGGGACATTTGATACCTGGTATTATGTTAATGTTGTGCCGACAGTTATATTTTGTATTGTATTCCTTGTAATTAAAGGATATTGAGTATGAATCAGTGAAAGAAAAAGCAGAAAAATGTCATCTTATTTGCGCTCTATTCCGAATAAATTTACACCTTTTGTTAATACACGGAGGCAAGTAATTAATATCGACCATCAGTTACCAAATCATGTTAAATCGTCTCTGTTTTTAGAAGAGGTGAGTACTTGAAAGTTTTCTGTAATAATTGTTAATCACGTGTGTTTAAACAATATTTTTAATCGCTGTCATTTACAATTTCCCTTCAAAACCCTTCTCATATTATTATGTAGAATAAGTTAACCTTACTATACTTTTTTTTTTCATTTTATTATGTAATAATCATTTTGTTGCAGAAATTTCATTAAAATTTAAGTTACTTGGGTTTTTTATTTTCGTGATCCATTTCCATGTGTTAGCATTTCACATATTTTTATTATGTTGAAGAAGAATTCTATGTTGCTTATAAGTGTTTTTCAATCTCAGTTTTTAGATATACAAACAACAACAACAAACGTAACAACAAATTCTAAAGAAAAGACTTTGAATTCTGTAGTTGCTTCGTTAAGTCAAAATGTACCAATTGTCTTCTTCAGTACTAATATTGAGAAGCCAAAGATATTAAGCAAACGGTATAATGGAACTAAACATCAAGTAATGAAATTACAACAACAGAGACTAATGAATGTTACCATGTTAAATGTAATTAATTCCGATGCAACAAATATGGCTGTATTAAAGTATAATAGACAGTGGGAAAAATCTGTTACAACAAATTTCAATGATAAGAATTTTGATGTACCATGCACAGAGATGGTATTAGCCAAAAATGTATTTAATGATGCCTCACCTAACTCAGAAAAGAAAGGCATTCTTTATACAGAAGTTTCTCCTAATGTGCAAAATGAACATGAAAAGAAAGCTTCTATGGATCGTAAACCATCTGAAACACAATTAATAAATATATTTAAAATTCTTCAGGATGATGTATGAATTTTTCTTATGTAAAAAAAAAGAATTACTTGGAATGATATAAAATCTAACAAGATTTTATTACATCAATGTACATGTTTCTTTCAGTTACCACTTTTGTTTGTTAAACAATTCAATTATGCCATATATACAGAGGATATGACATTTGTGAACAATATTAAGGGTACAACATGTGTGTGAGTATATAATTACAATATTTTTATTACTTGTTTATATAAAAAATAGTAGCACATATATTTGAAAATGTTTTATAGGGGAATACTTAACTATGTTAAACAAATAATGTTTTTAAAGATAATAGGCCATTTAAAGTATGCTTATATTAAATTAGATGTTTTAAAAATGACTATTCATCCTGAGGATAATAGCATTAAAGTTCGTTGGCGTATAGTAGGCATTTCTGGTACACGTATATTTCTTACATTTTGGAAATTTAAAGTTTGGAATGTTAAGGATAATATACAGCATACGTCGTCGTAAGTAAATTCACATTTGTGTTTCTTACAATAAATTACAGCTTCTATCCTTGTTCTTATTAAAATAACCGACATTAATAACTAAACTTTATTAATAGATGGTATGATGGATTTTCGACATTTTATGTTAATAACGACGGTAAAATATTTAAGCACGTTGTGGATAAGATGATGCCTGATCAGGATGTAGAAGAAAAATTGAAAACACCCATTGAAACAAAATTGGCATTATTCGCTGCTTTATTATCCGTTGATTCGCTTTACTTAAATAAATTTTGTTCAAAAAGATATCCCCAATTATTTCGAATAAAATGAGATATTTATTGAATATTTTTTAAGTTACTGCATTAGGTAAAGAATAGAATAAATACTGAAACTACACTACCCATTTTGATATATTGTTTAACAACCATATTTGTAGAACTGTATGTGAAAATTAGCAGAAATATTTACACTTTGTGTATAATTGTAACAAATTATAGCTATTTAAGATTTAAAAAAATGTTTTCTTTTTCAATGTTTTCTAATAGATGTCACAGTAGTGACATGACCCAGAAGCACATGAACATTTTATTATTATTTATTGGTATCAAAAACGAAAAGGTATTTTGTTTTTAGTACTATATTTGATATTTATTTTACAATATTTTAATGAAAATATTTACATTTCAGATAGTATGTAATATAATGTACAAAATATTTGGTAAAATCTGCAGTTAAAGTTTCAACATCATGTTTTTTTCTTTATTTTATTGTTCATATATATAAATATTATTGTTCCATAGAAATAAAAAATATTCCATTTTACGTGAAGAATTAAATAATGTGTTGATTGTATTCAGTTGCACACAAGTCCTATAAAGACACATAACTTTAGAGATAGAGGTAAAATTATAAATAGTCATTAGATATATGAAATAGATATTTACCTAGATAATCATCCATTAATGTTCCAATAGCAAACTGTAAATAATATGGAATATTATTATGAAACAGGATACTAGGATAAGATATTAGGATGAATACTCACAATTCCTGTGGCATCGACTCTTGTACCAACAATTTTTAATCTTATTTCATCATCTGGTTGAATAATTACATCCTGCAATATATGACATAATTTACAATTTATATTATTTATAATATATATATCTGCTGGGATTGACTGAAAAAAAAGTTTGATATTTCATAAACCACAACTATAAAATTACAATTGATAGAAAAAAATAACTTACATGGTGAGATATAAAACATGAAAGTGGTCCTATTTCAGCAAACATTCCAACCTAACACAATTAAAGAGAAGCTTTTCTACATTGTATCTTAGATATTTAGTTTGTACATTACATGTTTACCTTATTCACTTGTGTCACAATTGCATCTAATACTTCTCCTTTAAATGGTCTAAATACAATGGCCTTATATTTAACAGGATATACTACAAAACCTTGTCCTGGTTGTATGATTCCTGCACCTATGTTATCTATCGTTGTTACAGCAACTACAAAACCATATCTGGAACACAGTGGAAAATGAATAATAATTATTTAATATAAATATGCCACTTTAATTATGATGATAAACTTACTTTCCTGTACAGGTGCCTTCCACTTCAGTGTATAGCTTCTGTTTCACAGTATCTAACAACTGAGGTCCAAAATATCTGGGGTGTAATAAAATTTCGTGTTCTAGTGATATCTGTAAGAATAAGAAATACAAAATGGATCATTTATGTTTGTACATTAGCAAACGTTCTCTATCGTTAATCGTTGTACAATTATAATACACAAATATATAAACAGGTTTTTTTTTTTTTATCCTTGGATAGTTTACGTTGAAATAACTCACATGATAAAACATGTTTTATTTCAATGGTATTAAATAATATTACGGAGTAATAGTATTAAGAGAATTTCACAATGAATATATATTTGAACTGTTCCGGTTTTTTAGGTTACACTGGGGAGACGAGTACATATTATTCTCTTAAAAATTTGTTACTCAGTAATGCATTTTTCGAAGATATACAATTTAAATTTATATTATTTTCCGTTAAACTATTTACTCGATTTATTGTAAAAAAAGAAAAATATGTATCGATTGTAGAAAACAACTCAATCAGCTGACAAAATTACGCGCGTTATTTACATCTGTGTAATAAGCGCCGTGACGAAATACGTAGTAAAATGTATAGGGCTATTTTGAACCTCGTCCGTGGTAGAAGATGCGAAATATGACAGTTTACATTATGTATATCGATATTCATATTTCTGCACTTTTTAGGTCTCTTTTGAATAATAAAAATTAATTACAGAAAATCACAACATATTAAAGTTTAATGCAGAAAATATATTTAATCTACTTCGTTTCATAGTTGATATACATTATTGTTGAAAAGGCAACTAATCTAGCGAATTTTTTCAAAAAAATTTGTATACATTGTATATGTTGGAAGTTTGTAAGTTATTGGTTAGCATCGTCTACAAAATTTAATTTTTGTTTAATTTCCAAGGCTAATTTATATCCAAGTTCTGGTCGACGATCCCTTCCTTCGACCATTGCTTTTACCTGACTCGAATTTACAATTACTCCATTGTCAGCTATAACTGTTGCTTTAGTTTTTTCAATATCAACTAGATCTACACCTCGGCTACAATCATCGATAAGAACAGTCCGATAACCACTTTTGAGTGCATCTACCGCAGTAGCCCCGACGCAAACATCGTAGGCTAATCCGCAAATATATATGTCTGTTGCCCCTTTTCCTTGTAATTGCGTAGACAAACTTGTGTCCATCATTTTCTTGTTATCCCAAAAGACAGAATAGGAATCTACTTCTGGGTTAGTCCCTTTGTAGATTTTGATCCCATTGTCTACAATTTTCAGATCTTTATGAAGTTGAGCGCCCCAAGAGTCTTGAATACAATGTCGTGGCCAAAGACGTTGCTTTAATAGTGGCGGACCTTTGAATGTAACGGTATCGTAAACTTGTGCTGCTTCTTTGGAGATTCCACTACTAGGATCAACTTCTCTGTATAAAAATCAAATATTTAACTGATAGATTTCTGGATAAAAATGCAATAATAAAATTTAGGCATTGGTAAATTACCTAAGGTGTAAATTATCAATAAAAGATACATGATCTATAGGATGCCAATCAAGAGAGTAAAATACTCCATCAAATTGTACAGTTTCCAATAAACGATTAATTGGTTCAATTACTTCTGAGCCATCATGTTGTGCAGCACACTGCTTGATATTCAAAGAACCCGTTATAAAATCATTCTGCACGTCTACAATTAAGAAAGCACTCTTTGGACGAGTACATACTTTAATCCAACGATTCCAGCATATCTAAAAACGAGGATATTTAACGATTATTACGATCTAACAATTCTTACGATAATAGAATATTTCGAAATATAATGTACCTCGAACTCCTCTCTGTCAATTCTCCCATCTCCATTCAAGTCAAATACAGAATATATCTTCTTCAACTGATGTTCTTCGACATTATACACCTTTCCGCGATCATTGCGAAATAAAGCACGACAAATGAATTCAAATTCTTGGACAGATAAATATCCATCTTCATCTTTATCAAATGCAGTAAAACACGCATCCATGTTTCTTTGCTGTAACTTGTTGTTCCTAAGTTATTCGTTTAATCAATATTCACATTAGCAATGTGCAGTCATATTATATACACTACTTTTGACACCTTTTCCAAGTTGCTGCATTTATAAAACGTGGTATATTACTGTACAATGTACTTTAGTTTAACTGCAGTGCAGGGCATCTAGGAGAATACCAACAAATACCATCTGAATCTTTAATATAATACTCTGATGTGGAGGTATAGAATAAACGAATTTGAAGAAATTTCTAAAACTGTTTTATTGCTACATGTCTTAGATTAAAAGTTTACAAGAAAAAGTAGTATAAAATCTGTTTGATCCTAGTGTTTATTAATCGAACAACGTGCGACGATACACGGTGAAAATAAAGGATCATTGTATTAATCTTTGATGAGTCAGTAACGATACGTTAATTATTGCTTCAGGTTCCTGCAATTCATTTATTTTGTACTTCATAGATTCTTCATAAGCGTATGTAACAGATGTATCTGTGAGCTGCATATTACACGTTGCTAAAATTAAAATACAATTGCGTAATCGTGCGCAAACTTCGCGATTTGCTTGAGGAATTCTTGACAAATCTTGCGTGAAACCGCCTTCTGATCTATCAGTGTCTTGTTTACTAGCTCCAATCCATATATAACCGTTATTTCCTAATATCAAACTTGTACCACTTTCCAAATTGTGAAAATGAGTTTTCTTTCTTTTTATGAGTGCCGGTGAAACCTTCAACATTATACCTTGAGACAATTTACCATACTTTAAAACTCTAGTGTGCAAAGAAAGGGAACCATCTACAAAAGTACTTTGCACTTCTGCACAAATTAAATCTCCTTCTTGAAGATATCTTCTCATAGTTTGCTCATCTTCTGCAGACCTTCTTCTCTGTAGATTACAATTAGAAAGGAAAGTTATTTAAATTTAAGTATGGATACTTGAACTAGAAGAAAATTAAACTAGAGAAAATTATATTTGAAATATCATACCAATTCTCCACCTGGTAAATTAACACTAGTGAGTAACAAAACTGAGTCAAGTTTGGAATTTGTGTCGACCTTCCATCGTTTTTGTTGTACTTCAGTTATCCGACCAACAATTACATCGCCAATTTCGCCATGGTAACGGGCTTTCAAGGGTCTTATCGAAATAAGTTTGTTAACTTTTTCTAAAACACCAGCCACGGACGCTCGTAGTGTGTTTTCATCGTCTACGTACGTTCCATGTCCCCTAATAAGAAGGAAGGATGAATGAAAGTTGGATCGGTTTTTTGTAAAACGGCAAACAGAATAGAAAGAATCACCTTAAAAAGTCAGGCTGACTGGAAATTTCTTCTCCCGGCGTATATATTCGCGGTTGATCTTCATTTTCTATTAAATTTAGATTAATTCTATTCGATGCCAAACGTACATTAATAGGTGGATATTCCTCCATTATATATAAAAATCCTTTTTACGTTTTCTGTGTATAATAATTGTTGCTTATACATGTAAATATGTTTTATTTAACGTGCATTACATGGTGCACACACGTATGATGACATTTAAGGTTACATTTAAGTGACACGTGATTAAAAGGCGCGATGTAAAGCATGAAACATAACAGTACTGTAAGAGCTGCTATCTACTCGTTGCATTTACGACCATTACTTTACGACCATACGCATCAAGATGGTACATACATGTTTATAAAACACTATAGAATTATTCTAAACTAACTTAAATTTAGCATTTTTATGAAGCAGAAGACAGGTTAATTTGAATCGAGAAGTTATCGGTCGTTCGTATTTAGTGAGTAGGAAATATGTTAAGACGTAGGGACGTATGGATTTAAATTTATGTATTTAAAATTAACTGACAAGAATAAATTGTTATCTGTTTAGTGTTTTACGATGGAGGATTTTGTTCCAACGCGAGTGTCAAGATTGAAAGAAGATGCTGGAAAGGAGTTCGTGTCGGTTAAGTACGAACGGCGACAGAAAAAGAAGGCAGATGTCGATGAAAGTAAGAAAGGTAACGAAGCACGAAGCTCAAAATTTGTTATGAAAGCAGATGAAGGAAATGAAAATATGGATGAGAAGAAAAGACAGGAATTAGAAATGAAACGCATTAGATACGAGGTTATGAAATTCGGTATGTCTGGTTTGAAAAGTGTAGAGGCAGACCAGGCACAACTTGCGCTCGCTTTGAGTTTAGGGGCAAAACCCCCCAAGAGAGAATACATTAATTACAAAGTGTTGAAAGATGAAAAAATGAAAAGCAAAGAAGCAGAGAAGAATAAGGTAGTACTGAAATCAGGACTGGAAAGGAGTTTAACGAAACATAAAACTAAGAAACCTCGTAAGAAAGCTTCCGACGGTATATTAGAGGTTTATGGTAAAGTAAGTAAAAAATCATCATCAGGTAAAAATAGAAAATGAAAGCTTGACCGTAAACGTTTAAAATATTTTTAGTTACTTTCTTGATTTGTTACAACGTTAACTACTGGTCTAACAGTAACATGTTTCACGTATTGTATATTATATATGAAAAATAACAAGTAATAAAATAATATTTTTATATATTTGTGAATTCATTCGGGCCAGCCTTGAGCTTCAGTAATAGGATACATATATTTGCCTATGCATATTTAAAATAGATATTCATGTAATGTTCATCATGCCGTAAGGGAATGATTTGGCATTTAAAGGACCATGGTTTTGCATTCGATCGAGGTCAATCAAAGGCCACAGCCGTTGGTGCCACCTCGAGCAACATTTGAAGGAAGGCATTCACTCCTTCTGTAAATAAAATAAAGAATTGGAACAGCAGCTACATTCTACTTTTTTCTTTGTTTTCTACGAAATATTTGTGGAAAAAGTAAGGACGCTTACCCATAAATTTGGGCACATATCCATATTTAACAAACGGGAGGTAGACGAGCATGCCCGCTAATATGAATCCAGCCGCGTACAAATATTCGATTTGAGGTTTGTCGATGATTGGTGCTACAATTAGGTACGCAGAGATTACGAGCACAAGGATGGGTATTATCAGCGGACATTTATATGGCCGTGGATGATTTGGTCTGGTCCTTCGCATCACCAATAGAGCTAGCATTGCTCCGCCGTAGAATATCCAAGCGGTAAAGGAAAAGAAATCGATCAAAGAATCTATGTTTCCCGATAGTACCATCGCTCCTAATGGGTAGGAAAATATAGAACATTACACAGAGATGGATAAAGTACGAAACAGAAGGGTAAGGTTTGTACCTGCAACGAGGGAGTGAAAAATAAGTCCTGGTGCAGGAGTGAAGCGCCGCACGTGCACGTAACTGAGACAGTCGAGTAAGTGGCCTTCTCGGGACGCGGCGAAACAAAGTCTACCTGCTGCAAAGAGAGTACCATTTGCGGAACCAAACGTGCTGATGGCAACCGAGAGCGGCATGAGCCATGCCATAACGCCAAGAATCCGATTTCCGAAGGTCTGGAAAATGTTTGTTCGAACTTGGGTTGGGATTTCATCGGGGATTATTATATTTCATCGCCGGTTAAGCACGGGAAATACCCTGAAATTTTTACCGGTAATTCGATAAATTCTATAGAGCAATGTAGAGCGTATGTAGGTTAATAGTAGAAGTAGAAAAGAAGTAAAATTGCGCTTGCACGGCAGAGTGGTTTTACCTCGTACACTTGTGATCTCGACGAAAAATCAAAGGTAAGTAATGGGTTTGTAAACTGATTGTTATTTGAAATATTTTTATTTTCTTGTAGCCACGGCTAAAAAGATAAAAAAGACGTAGGTTGATGAAATATTCAATTACGATACAAGTATGTTAAGTTTGAATAGAAATTTGACCGAATTACCGGTAAATACCTATAAATATCGTGTACCTATATGAGAGATAAAGAGAAGAGAAGAGAAGAGAAGAGAAGGAGAGTATTATAAATTGTCTTACCACTGCGACGGCTTCGCTTTCGATCATTTCCGAGGGTGACATGACGGCTAAATAAGAGACGTTTATTAACGCGTAACAGAGTGTAACAAGGGGTATGCCGATCATAATGGAGCGGGGCAGATTTTTCGAAGGATCTTTGATTTCTTCGGTAACGTAATTGAGGTTGTTCCATCCGTCGTATGCCCATAGACCGGTGTAAAAAGCTGTGGCTAATCTGCCTATATTAACGGTACTGCCGTCCATCGTGTCGAAAGCGCCCTTGAGATGCTGCGTATTACCCTGTATCAACTTGTAAGAGCCGCCGGCAATTACAACGAGTATGGCAATCAATTTGGCTGCGGTAAACGCGTTTTGCACACCTGTCGCCAGATTGACGCTGTAACAGTTTACCAGCAGTATAAGTATGATGGCCAGAAGTGCTACGATCTTGACGACTTCCTCGGGTGGATCGCAGTCGGCCGCGAAGGCCTCGACCGCGTACTGCGCAAACGAGAGACATATTATCGCCATCTGAGATGGTTTCAAGACCAATGTGGAGACCCACGAGAAGAGGAAGGCAGGTGGTGCGCCGAACGCGTCCATGAAGTATGCGTACTCGGCGCCGCTGCTCGTGTTCATCGTACCCAGCTCAGCGTATGCTAACGCACCGCACAGACTCAACATGCCGCAGGCCGTCCATACGAGGAAGCTGATTCCGATACTGCCGGTTCGAACCAGAAGCCCTGACGGCGAAACGAATATCCCGGAACCTGAAAAACAATTCGTTTTCAATGCTTGCTCCAAGGTGTCTAATTGTAAGGTGAAATGGTGATCGTTACCTATCATGGTACCAACGATTAGAGCCACCCCACTGACGAGTCCCACCCGTCTCTTGAGGTGAACAGAGTTGTTCTCCTCTGGGTCCGCCCCCTCCAACCCTCCACCCCCTCCACCCCCGTCTTCATCATCTCCCAGGTCCCCAGATTTAACTTCTTTCTGTTTCCGTTCGTGTAGCTGTTGCTGTTGCTGTTGCTGTTGAAACGGCGAGGTGGTGACGACGTGGTTCCAGCCGTTGCTGCTGCCGTTGCTCCGGATCGATCGCGAGACCAGCGTCGCTTCAGGAATTCCATTCCATCCACCGCCTTGCAACTGCTGTTGCGACTGATTCCCGTTGCTCGTTTGTGGATCATGTCCCACGGTAGCTGAAATCATATTCCCCCTTTCTTTCCCCCGTCTTTCTCTTCGCCCTTTCTCTCACCTTACTATTGCCGCGCTCCCCTATCCAATTACAACTTAATACCGTAATTGTTACCTTCTTTGTACATCGTTCATTAGAGTGCTCGCTCTAATCCCTCTATATCTGCTAATCGTGCAAATTATCGCAGAGAAATATTATATCGGTTTGGGTCTCCCGTTAACTTCTCGACCTACAGCTGCATCGTGTCTCGGCTATACTTTCTTTCAAACCGACTGATGAAAGATATTTCCGTGGCGTCCGAACAACCGCCGCACGATGTGCGACGCGACGCGGCAGTTTAAAAGGCGGTAAATCGTTGAATTTGTATTTATGTATGTCGCCACGTGACGCCCATTATTATATTATTATCGCGGAGGCGTTGTTGCTACCGTAATAGTTCGCATGGCCAGGTGCCAAGGATTTCTCGTGACCGATTGTGAGATCAGTCCACCTTCTTCTTTACACGTTTGCGAGCATACGTGTCACGTGTACCCCCTACACTGCACAATAGCGATCAGTCCTGTTTTCGAACGAACCTTTCACGTCAATTACCACCAAAATCAAAACTATCGATGGTGGTTTAGATAACACGGATACCGATAACACGGAACATGCGAACCAGAGGTGCATTCAAACGTTACGCAACCTGTGAATTTGCGTTATTTCGAACGAATTCGAATCCCGAAGCGACGGGACCCCGGTACTATGCAAAGCGTGCGTGTGGTTTCGCCTTCAAGGTGACCTTTCGATAAAGGATTATCGACATTCTTCACGCATCTACGGTTTATCGTTGTAATATATTTAAATGCCGCCCACTCGAAAAGAAAGTATTGTTTAATTATTCTTCCCTAAGAGGGGGAACGATTCGTTGAAGAGCACAGTCGCGTTGCTATATTTTTTACCCGCCTGCTTAATACCGAGCGATTCTAGTCTCGTTTGCACTTTCCTTATCGACAAGTGGGTTATAAATGCCTTTGTCAGCTTTGTAAAAATTGCTAACCGTTTATGTCGACACGTGACAATGTATCGTTTCGTAGAACGTAGAACGTAGAACGTAGAGGAGGAAAGAGATCTGTAATTTCAAGCACCGATGAAAATCATCCAAGATTTGTGGCTTTAGTTAACCGTTTGCAATGTGACGCAATACGGCTGAGATGACTCGAGCGTCTCGAGAGCTTCTCTAATTGATTGTCTGCATAGACGTCGTGCGAGGAGACGTTTTAAATTTTATAATTTTCAGCCTAAAGAAATAAGGGGAGAAAAAAAGAAAAAAAGAAAAAAAAGAAAGAAAGAGGGGAAAAAAGAATGAGAATTTGAACTTATTCAAATGTACATGTAATTTGATATTTCGTTTGTCCCCCTATGTAAGGAAAGTAAGTTTAATAATTTTAAACGATATTTGACCAACGAGTATTATTGCGTGGTTATACTTGTGCCCCATGACCAAACAGAGAATTAGCTCGCAAAATTCGTCGAATTGAACTGGTAACACGATATGCCAACACGGACGTTCGCACTGTACAGTAAACAGTGTCTGTCAACAGTGGCGAGTCTTTCTATTCTCTGGTAGAAAATAAGGATTGTTCTTCACCGTACGTTGTTTTTCGAAAAGATTCTTTTACTCGTAAAGTTCAATTACATCTCGTACTTCTTCCCTTTTCTTTTTTCGTTATCCGTATGAAAAAAAAAAAAAAAAAAACATCTTGGTTGCTACTTATGCGTTGTATGAAAACCCTCTTCTAAACTACGCTAATGCCTATTGTGGTAAAGTGTCGTAATAATCCAATTGCTTTTAATTGATGGTTCGCGCGAAAGAAACCGATCTCCGCGCGAGGTCTCGGCTGCGAAAGAAGATCGTGCGCACGACCGAAGATCTTTGCTGCTTGTAAAAAGAGAATAAAGAATTACTCGATTCGTTTTCATCGAACGCGCGAAATAAGATTGTGGGGAAAAGGGAGGGAAAAAATCGCAGTTAGTTGCACGTCAAGTTTTATACAGTTGACGACTCTTTCTTTATTCACGGTGATCTACTCCGACAGGTGAACGATTTGTCACGACGCGACGCGTAAATTTCTAATCGATTCTCTCCCTGGTGTTCGTAAATTGCACCAACTCGCGAAAATATCGACGGGTTTCAACTGCATTTCAAGCGAAATCCTACTTGCTAATTCGTTCCTGTTACGTAAATATTGTAACGCTGAGAACGTTCAATTTGTTCCCTACGTCGAATCGTAAAAATGTCCGTATACATACCCGTATATAACTCTGTTGATTTACAGCCGTATGACATTGGTCAATGGTTTTTATTTCGCTCTATCGATCGGTTTGTTGCATTTAGCATTGTCTATAACTCGAGGAAAGAGAAGCGAGAGAGCTTAGAACCGTATTTCACGTAGAAACTCCAGTAGAAACGACGATTCTTTGCTATAAAGAAACTGAATGGAAAGAAGATGGCCGCGACGGGTATTCGAGATTTTCAAGCATCTGATGCTGCGACACATTTGCCGACCGAACGGTTTACAGAGAGTTTTTCTGTTAAAATGAACGCCGCTTCGAACACGTTCGACGTAACCCAGATAGTAACGAGTGAACACCACTATCAGTAGAATAAGACGTATTGGATTGCATAGAAAGAATAATTGGCTTAAACGAAATATGTACGTCGCAGAGAGTAGTACTTATCGTCCACTCTTCGCTGAGCAGAGTTCGTTGAGAGAAGTCGTTGTTCGTCTATTCGTGGCGACTTCGCACGCCAGATATTCATTCTCAAGTATTCGAGATGAACTGTGAAATCGTGCGTGGGAGGAGCATCGAGATTGAGATCGATATATCGATATCGAAGGATCAATTTTCTATAAAATAAGAATAACGCCAATATCCTTCTGTCGATAATCGTTGAGAAGATAAAGCAAGAACTAACTAACGTTAGTAGCAACTGATAAATTTCTTCTCGCGGCGAAAACCACTTACACGCGACTGTCTTAAAATATACCTATTGGCTAGATTTAACGCGGAGGCGGGCCTGGAAATCCGATTCCGTCGTTGAAAAAGTCAAAGTAAACAAAAAAGACGAGCCTGCATGAATGGGGAACATCGACGAGTGTTCTTGACTTGGGTTAATTTGGCATTGCTGCTCACTAGGAAGTTAAATCGGAGACGCAGATATTTTCGGACTGTCTTAAGGATATCGTACACCTTACACGTTCGAGTTTCTCGTTTCGCGGGATGACGCAATTTCTCGTGTATTTCGACTGTTGCATAACCATCATTTTTTTCTTCTTCGATCATATTATGTACGCATTTTGCTTTTCGATCCGCCGATAAAGTCTTCTTAGAATTCGATTCGTCTTGGAACGATGCGTTAAATCACGCTTATATTAACAGCCAGTGATTCGTTCTGAACAACTGAAATTACGTGTCACGCGTTACGTTACAAAGGTGTTGAATAATGGAAGATTGCAATTGACTGAACAAAGGTATAAATGAACGAAGCGAAACAAGTGTTGTCGCATGTACCACTTTGGCACACACGTGCACCCTTGTTCTATTACCAACATGAGGATGCAACAACAGGTTTTATTTCACCGCCGAATTCTATTTCTTCCATATTTCTTTGGCAAATAACCAATTTCCGATCACTTTCACCTTTCGTTTATTTATCCAACTAAAAATCATAGATTCTGTTGCTCTTTCCCAGTGTGTTTATCCCGTTTACGATTGAATCATTTTTATGCAATTGTTGGAATTGATGGTATCGCGCGAAAATCCAACTTAAAAGTATCAAGGAGAAGGCTACTCTCCGAGAGTGGGAGTCGCGTTTATGAATGAACAACCCGGTGAAGGTAAAAAGCGCGCGAATCTTTCCAATTATGAACAAGTGGCGGCTCTACTGGTATATAATAGGGTTAACGCGATGTGACGCGGTGAAACGACGAGAAACGCGGCAGCGGTACGTAAGAAAAAAATGTCGCTCACCTCGTTTGAAGGGCGCGACATGCATGACTCTAAGAGGGACCGATAAGAAGGGCGGACTGTGAGACCGCCTCTCATGACACCACGCCGACTTTTCGGTGCAACCACTGTCTCTGCCGTCACAGCTGTCTTCGACCCGCCGACTGCCTGTCTTTTTCCGCTAAATTCGCTCGCAAATCTCTAGTTCGCGTTTCAAAGGGCGACTCTTTCGTACGCCCCCTTCTCTTCGCTCTTTGTTTCCAACGATGCCACTTGATTCCGATCAGACGACTCCTCTCCTCTTCCACCAGAACGCTTTCGACGATTTCGCTTTTCCTCCACAATTTCGACGAGAAAATTTACGTATGTATCATGTGTGGCTGTAATATTACGATACGACTCGCACTGATCCACCTCCAACGATGAACTGGGCGTTCGACAGAGGGAGACGTACCCGCCAAAGAGCGAACAGGAACGAGGTCGGGTAGGGGAAATAGAGAGTGCAAGAGGGAAGGAACGATAGGAGCACGAGCGCCCAGCGTCGGCGCTCAAACTCGCTCGATATCGTTTTTCTGTCTTTCCACTTCTATTGGATATCTACGAATTCATTCTCTAATACTTTAACTACTTCCTACTTCTCACCCTTATGCCATTTAAAACGTGTTGCTAGTTTCTAGTCACTAATGTGTATTTCCACATTTCCTCCACGTTTAATTACGAGTACAGCTTCTAAACACGACGTAACAATATTTATACATTTTATAAATAATGTTGCATGTTTTTCGTAACGTTTATTCGGTAGTTACATATGTAGCAAGAATACGAATATATTTAACGCGTGTTTTGACTTTTTCATATCGCAACAGTAGTAGTAAAATCAATGATTACCAGTTCTCCACTGATAGAAAATAATTCATTTTTTTAAAACAGCAATGTATAGGAGAACAATCTTGTACTCTAGCTTCTTACTAAATTCAACCTATCATTTTCGAAATTTTCTCCGATAGTACATGGCATAAGTATGCCAATACACACTACGAGTACTAGTGCATTTCTTTCAATTCGTATTTACACGTTAGAAATTGCTCGATGTGTGTGAGAACCATAAGAACTAGGCTATAAAGGAAATTTCAATGTTATCGACAAAGGAGTCTTACCTCACAACTGCGGGTCATGTCCACGATTTCGGAAGTTGCTTTATCTCGTAAAATATTAACTGAATATTGTACTATATTGTATCGTGTATATGTGAAATAAACAATAACTACATTGTGTCGTATATTTTTAAAAAGATTCAACTTATCGAATGCAATTTAGGAAATATAACAAAACGCAGTTTATTTTTATCATATACATAATTTTACAATAAAAATTTCATAACTTTTAACTTGAAACTATAGTAATCTCTCACGTATACATTATAAACGTAAAAATCTTGCATTATCATTTATATACATCAACTTGTTTCAAATGTTTTTTTAACAGTGACAAATACACATTTAACAATCATTTAAATATCATTTGTAATTTTTTAAGCAATATTTAGTTCGTTATGTGCTTCTTATATACTTATTTATTTTAATCAGGTGTAATAACAACATTTGCATATACAAAGATAGCTTTTTAAGTGTTTTGTAGTATTTAATGGACCTTTAAAAAAAATCTTTCCTTTAAGTATCTCTTCTTTCAGAACCAAATTTTCTTCCTCTATTTCAAACGAAACTCGGTAGAAATATGTAAACAAAAGTAATTTATTTGTGTATACTTATAGTCAATATATTCTTCTTACTTCATATTGAAATTCAACTTTTAATAAAACAAATGAATGGTTGTTTTACAAATATTTTTATGCCAGGCCAGCTTTTGCGTGCAGTTTCATGTTATAAAACAAGACTGTAATTATGTGCAATGTACATAATATTCTTTCATTAATTATTTATAATGATCATTTATGTATAGTACAAATTACAAAAAAATAAATATTGGGAATGCTTCAATGTGCTTTAATAAAATAACGGTAGACAAGAGTTGCCAGCACCCCAAGTACAATAGGAATCAGCCACGATCTCCAAGAACCACTGCAATTGCCAATCATCACATCACGTTGCAGCATCGACTATTTGCACATCACACATTTTGAATTTAAATAATGTTACGACTTGGATAGCACAAATGTAACTTACAGATGATATAATACATGTTGTTGCAATGTATCAGAAAAAGGCACATAAGTATATTGTTAAGAAAGAAATAAGCATCTTCCTATAATAAACTTCAATTCTTAATTGTGCTATCCAATGAGTATGGATAATTGAACAATGACAAGTACAACACTAATGCAGAAAAATGTTAGTAACAAAATTATATACCTGTAATGCTTTTGTTAGTAATCATTTTTAGTATATATGGTGCACATGGTAGTAATAATTTATTTAAGAAAATGTTATACCTAGAACTATCTCCATCAGGCAGATGATTTAATTCACACATTTGTTCCTCTTCTCCTTCCTCCTAAAATTCATAAATTTTCATCCATTTAGAAGAAACGACATTTCTGCAATGCTCTAAACATTGCTTTGACACTTTTAAATCTTACACTTACTTTTGCTAATTCTCCAATCTTAAAGATTTCCATCAATTCTTATTGATAATACAGAAATAGGAAGTATGACACATTGACACTTTTAAATCTTACACTTACTTTTGCTAATTCTCCAATCTTAAAGATTTCCATCAATTTTCTTGCATCACTTGAGTGACCGATATCTTCGAAGGCTTCTGTACAATCTCGACCACCTTGTTCCATAAGAACTTCGTCTCCACCCGGATGCTTAAATTTCAAATATAAAAGAAATATTTTTACATGCGTTTGTATCCGACCGATAGGTTCTTCGAAAATAGTACGAAATATATAATTACACTGATAAATTTAGACACATCGTAAATTTTACGGTTAATAATAAGCCACAAATCGTCTCTATCAGTATGCTTAGCAACTTCTTCCCGCGTGTATACTTTCGTACAAACGGCATCAACAGTAGAATTCTCGAGCGCCATATTTTTTCTTCTGCAGTAGACAAAATTTTATAGTAGATGTACGAATATTGTATAGATATTACTGAAAGAAATGAATAAAATATTGAATACAGTTAATAACGTATTGTTCAAGTTATTATTACGCTATCCTTCGTTTAACTAGTGAAAATCGCGTAAAAATCTTATACGGTAACTTATCCGTTAGCTGCGACCGCAGCTATAGTCTGAATTTAGTGAATCGGTTAGTATATTTCGATAATGCGAATTTACACTCATCTATGATAGTAATATTGAGTGTTAAAAAGCTTTGTATTTTTCCTTTATTATTTCAAGGCTGTCAGTAACTTTTCTTCATTGTAAATTGTTCTTAATCGATATTTCGTTTAATGTTAAAAAATGTTACAGTAATTTTATAGTATAAAATAAAAACAATTTCGTAAGAAAAATAAATAGGCATGTACATATAAATTAAATATTTGACGCATATCAGCTATTATATAATATGAAACTTTTGTAGAATTTTAAGGCCTATTTCTTACTACAACGAGTAATTGCTTGTTAGAAGATAAAAGTTCTTATTGACGCAATAGTAGTGTTAAAAATTATTTTTAAGCAAAAACATAAATTAATTTCATTGTACTTATTGGTATTCCTTATACCAATTTTCAATTAATAGTTGAAAATTATGCATTTCAACGTTGAACCAATAGGAAGTCTTATTCTTTATCCAAGAATCTGAACTGATGGTTACAAATTGAAATACTTTTTAGAATGTTAGTGTTTACATCGTATGTTGTGCCTTTGTAAGAATACGAACAAACGTTATTTAAATTTGTGTTGTGGTAATTCATTTTGAACATTTTATTTCAGATTCAACAAGTAATGCTCAAATTTTGTAGAATATGATTAGATAATAATAATCAGATAGTGATATAAAATGAATTTTGCCGGGCTTTTACCGGTACTTATTGTTAGTAGTTTAACAACTCGTGTAAAATGTGATTTTTCGTTTAACTCGGTATTCTCTGGATTTAGTAAAATTGGTAGGATAATGGAATACATAAAATGTAATTATATGGAATGTTGTACCGACGAATATGTTTCCCCTGATATTGATGGTACGTAGATTAAATTAAAAATTAAACGTTTCCGATTATTACTAGAAGAATTTATGTTTATCATTAACTCAATATATCTATATGTATATGTGCACATGACTATTTTAGAGTTGGATACCATTCTTCATAAAGAGCTTTATGGGCAAGAAATTGTTCATCGTATAGTTATCAATGCTTTACGTGGACATTTAACTTCCTCTAATCCTCCAAAAGCTTTGAGTATGAGCTTTCATGGCCCACCAGGAACTGGTAAAACTTACATGACTCAAATGATTGCCAAGTTCCTTTACAAGAAAGGCGATCAGAGTGAATTTTATCATTTTTTCAATGGCCGCAATGACTTTCCTTTGCAAGAAAAAGTAAATGATTATAAGGTATACCTTTAGTCTTACTTACAAAGTTACTCTATGACCCTTAAATAGATTGTGAACACACTTACATATACATATGTAGCATTTTATAATATATTATTTTGTACATTATAGGAGGAATTATATAAAATTATTATTAATAGTTTACAAAAATGTGAAAGATCAATGTTTGTGTTTGATGAAGTGGATAAAATGCCAGAGGGTTTGTTGAACGTTCTTGTACCATTTTTGGATTATAATACATGGGTCAAATCATGGAGACATGCTAGCTATTCTGTAAATACAAGGAAAGCAATTTACATATTTTTATCTAATACGGGCAGTACACGAATCATACAACATTTATTAACACTCTGGGAAAAAGGGAAACTGAGAACTATGGCTAGGATTCAAGACTTTGAAAATCTGATAAGTGTTGGAGCATTTAATGAAAAAGGTGGTTTTTATCATAGTGATACAATAGACTCTAATGTTATAGACCATTATGTCCCTTTCTTACCACTTGAAGAAAAACATGTGAAAAGATGTTTAAAAAGAGCTTTCAAAGATAGAGGAGTAGAACCTACTGATGAAATGATTGAAGAAGGTTTATCACATGTGACTTTTGGACCCCCACCGCATAATCTCTATGCATATGCTGGGTGCAAAAGACTAGAACAGAAAGTAGCAGCTAATATATATGCTAGAAGGAAGGAAAAATTGGAATTTTAAATGTTATGCATAAGCATTACTTCTTTTTTATGTTAACATTTTAATAAGACCTAAGTTTTATTGATTATTCTTATTGGCACAATCAGAAAATGCATAACAGTTAAAAAAATAGTACAATTAATTTGTTACAATAATACATGTAGCGATTGTTTATATATTTATGTATGTGTATGTTTATATTTATGAAATAGCTAAAATTTTTATCATTAACAGTACAGATTTACAGTATATACAATTGAGGCTTGGCAATTGACTTTAAAATATAGTCATCAAGAAGAAAGTTGCCTAGAAGTATAAACATTTGGCAATATGTTTTTTCCGTGTGATTCTAATATACAGGAATAAACAACTTTAATCTTTATGACTTTTTTTTTTTTTAACTTTATCCGTACTGTCATATTGTACCGAAAAATAATTATATTCTTTTTGTCTATACAAGTAGCTAAATATAATCGATTTTATACGTTCGGTTGCCGTATACGAATGTGTACGTTCTATTTATATAATTGTGATACAGTACAACCTCAAATGAAGAGAACAAAATAAACTGTATTTTTATAACGATGGTAATGTGTGAAAATGAAACTTTATATATTTTATGTATTGTAAAAATGCATTATATTATAGTTTATTTCTTCTCTTTTCGTTCTCCACTGAGAGGTGCCTTAGTAAAATATGATCATTGCACGATGACACCGTGATTAATATGCAAAATATTCTTGATCGTCGTGCTATCACATCGAAGAAGTATCTAAGTTTAATATAATTTACGGTTATTCTTCCTCAACGTATTCCTTTGGAAAAAATCCTACTTGATCTCCTATTTTTCCTTTCCACCATCCTTTGGCATCACCTTCTTTGCTCAATACTACAACTCTACAACCTCGTCGTAGGCTTAACTGATTTCGTTCTTCTCCACGAAAATCAAACAATGCTTTAGCTAATACACGTCTATACGGCCATAACAAGCGTTGATCTAATTTTTCAAAATTCTCCGACAACGATGCCCGTTCATAATATTCAACAAGTTCAACTACACTTTTAAAAAATCGAGATTCACTGAGATAATATACATCAGCGCCATCTGCGTCACGTTTAAATACTCTTATGTGTTTTACCGCTCCGTCTGCCCTGTAACATATTTTAAAAATTAAGGTTAACAGTTGAAAAAAAAAGAGAGAGAGAGAGAGAGAGAGAGAGAAGAAATTAGACACAAAATACACATGTCAATCTCTTACTTGATACTAAGAGCGTAATTGGTTTCGTGTTTTAAACGTGATTGCCCTGCAGGCCGTACTCGCAACATATATGTACCATCTTCCCGAGGTTCTAATTTGTTTGATGCCGTGTCACGTCCCATTTCCCCCACAAACCACAATTTTACCGAGAGAGCACGTTCGCATGGTAAAGGGGGCGGAGGTGGTGGTGGCGGTGGTGCCGGCGTACACCGACCCGAATGTGCAATGCACTGTTTGTGCACAGCGTGGCGACAAACTTCACATCGATATCCCTATTCGAATAAACGATTGGACAATAAATTTGTATGAAAATATTTCATATGTTTGTATTGGTAACACTTTACCTGAAAAATTCGACCTTTTAAAAATTTACGACATTGCTGACAACTACGTGGAGTGTCAAATGTTGTAAGTTTGAACTTATGATTTGTGTTGCGACACGCAGCAGGATTAACATTATCCATTGCATCTTGTAATGCTTTGATCCACATTTGCTTTTGTTCTTCCGTTCTTGCGTACAAAGTATATGCTGTATATTCTTGTTTATGGACAAGTAACCATTGATAGGTCCATCGAATTTCTCTACCGAGTGTTCGTCTTGATGTAGGATCTTCTACACGATAATCATCTAGGCGTAATGTTTCGCGATAGCAATACTGCTCTCCTCTACCTTTACAAATTAATACTACTTGTTCGAAAACAAATGCGTAACGAGCTTTCATTCGTTGATCACCGTGAGCTTTTACCTGAAATACGATTCTAATATGTCGTTCACGTTCCTAACTTTAACAGACGATTATTAAGAAATGAATACCTTAAGCTCTCCATCCCGAAGTAGTCGTCCAAAATCTTTCAACTGTGCATCTTCTGGAACGTCCCAATCAATGATCGATGCTTGGATATCTCTTATAATGTCTAACGTGTCCGAATCACGTTTCACTTCGTTGATATATTGTGCGATATCGACCATTACTTCTCTAGCTTTTCCAAGCTGTCGTCTATCTTCCAACCAGTCGCATGGAGTTTCTTCTACTAGTTTATCTAGTAATAAGTGGTACTTTAATACTCTTTGCATTGGAACAGACAGTATGTCGCGCAATTTAAATTTTCCGTTATTTGCCTCTTGTTGACACCGCTGTGAGAAAAAAGAAATGTTCATTACATTTGTTCAAACATCATCGTGGAATAAAGGGGGATGGATGATTTTAAAACTTACAATAACTTCTTGATTAACTAATTCATTACGTGCACACGCTTCTTGCAACGTATTCTGAGCAAGAGTTAGATTTGCACAATAATCGCCGTAAATAAGGAACTTTTCTCGCCAATCGAGGAAAACTTGTGCTAAAGCAGCACCAGTCCTTGCTTTTCGAAGCTGACTATGAAAACCGGCATGAATTTCTGCGAGTTCCTTTATGCCAAAAAAAATGCGCGCACAGTCTTCATGTCGCAGTAACGAAGAAAGGGGTCTGGCAAAATGTCTAAGTAAACTGTTAAGGACCTCTGAATAATTTCGTTCCGTTTCGACGAGTTCTTGTATTACATAATCCCTTTTTTCACCTCCAGAGATTGCACCATCCTGTTTTATAGAGGTTGATTTAAAATTCTGTTTGCAATAGACAATACGAAATACAAAATACTACGAAGCATCGCAAGACCAATTATCAGCGCTATAAATTTTCGGCGACTGCAAACAAATGGAAAACACAAAAATATAACGACCTGTGCAACAGATGGAGGAGGTGGCAAGTGTAGACTACAAAGGTCCTGGTAGATTTCTTCACTTTGAGCATGGCTGCAGTATGCTCCATATCCATCTTCTTCTTCTTCATTGTCCCCTCCTCCACCTGCTTCATCGCCCTCACGCCTTCTAAATCTTCTGCGACGACCTTCATCCTCACGGCTTTAGCATAAAAATATAAACAGCCATGCACTATCCATGCATGAAAAAAAATAGAATTTCTTGCGAACTTAAACTACTTGTAGCAACGGTAGATAGATCTCGTTACTAACAATAACGTTACAATAGTTTAACACATAAGAATTTTGAGCAAATGCAGAATAAAGTTTCAAATAGTGCCAGTATCACTGTACCGAATTAATTTCGCAAATAAATATTTCTACATAATTTCCATTCGTACTTCATATAACGTACAATCGCTATTTCATTTAACAACGAAGTACAGTGATGTTTGGTACTTGTGTTGCAAAATCTTTAAACTTTTAAATTGCAAACGACAGATACCTTCTCTGTGGAAGGCCAGTCGTGTTGCGAATTACCCGAGAAACAAAGTAATTCCTGATATACTTGGGATTCATCTATATCCATACCCTTAGGTTTCATGGTAAATGTCCCCACTCCTGTTGTGGGGCTAAACCCATTGATAGAAGTTATTATAAAGTTACACTGTTTATCAAATAATACGTCTTGTTTATATATGTTAATTTTTATGATAATTTTATAAACCTTCTATCTTCAAGGAAAATACATATATTGTTTGTACACTATAATTTGTTTGAACTCTAAAATTATAACGAAATTGCATGGAAACTTTGGATGATGCTTACCCTGCACCAGCACTTTGTAAATCCTTATAAATATCTTTTTGTGATCTACCATGGCCTACAGAGAAACCACTGTAACAAGTACTTGTTGTTAGATTCAAATAATACACTTTGTGGATAAAAGAATCTGTGGTGATTAATTACTTACAGAATACCTTTGCGTCTTAAACGAATACAATTGGACAAAGCAGATAGAGTACATAATACACGATGAAAATTTGACAGATCAAACAGCATGGAAGGTTCAAAAAGATCAGAATCAGATAAGCCAAAAGTAGTTGAACATGCTGATAAAAATACTTTGATGTTTCTTAAACATAAAAATTGTGCCATTTGTGGTTTTTGATTGACATCCTTCATATCTATACAACCAGGATCTACTGTATTTAGAAGATTACATAGCAATACACCATCTCTTAATGTGTATGCTAAGTCAACTGCAGTTGCCTGTGGCCAATTTGCTTTATGATCTGCCCTTAAAGCTCCACATCTTGTTAACCATTTGGCACATTCATGCCAACCACTTCCATTATCAGAGTTGCTTTCTATTCTGCTCATTTTCTTTCTCTTTGTTTTAATATAAAATATTAAAAGGCTATAAGTATTCTTTCAGTGTATAATGCATTAGGCCATAAAGGTTTCATAGATGTATTTTCTTATGCTAAGAAACTGTAAAAATACGAAGGCACGATTGAAAATAACAGTTTATACAGATACACTTTGACAGATAAAAAGAATAAAATGAAATCACATCAGGCAGTGTGAATTTTAATAGATAAAACTATCAGAGTTGCATCAAGATAAAAAATATGATGGTACATGTACAATTAAAATGAATAGTATTTTTGAAGATATACCTCTATTCGACGAAGAATGTATGAATTATTTCTTCGTTCTTCTGTCAGTGTTAAGAATATTCTGTAATAAATTCGACAAAAGAACTCATTATTGTGTTCCGTGTCGGTTCTTACAGATATCTCAACGGAATTTATAATGCCGCTTAAAATGGTTCGTTGGCAGTGTCATTGCTAAGAAAGCATTTCGTCGAGTTGCAACTTTAGTACGTGATTATTACTTCGCACGATATGCCTCGTTTCTCATTGTAATATTATGACGTTCGGCTCGCTGCAACTTACGATCGCCATATTGCTACTTCACTGCAGTCGATCATATCATAAATCTTGTTGCAACCTTTGTTTTACCTGTTCAACCATAGATGGAGCTAAATGTTTGTGTATCGAATATTACATTAAAAATTTCGAAAATGGGTACTGTTAAATAGTTGAATTTGATCAATTTCCGAACTGCGCAGCAATAAATTTCAGATGCGTTTCAAACTTATTCATAAAAATATAATACTTTTACCATTGACAACAATTGTCAATAAAGCATGGGTTAAATCGATGAAAGAATGTTTCTCAATTGTTTAGCATGTAAATAAAAAATTTCATTGTATGTTTAAAAAGATCCGTAAGAGTGACAATAGTAATATGCAAAGGCGGAATGGTGAGATATATGGTTTCTTTAAAGATTCAACGATATATATGGGAAATATTTAATTTTATTTTTCGTATATTTACGCATAAAATTCGTATATACATATGTATGTATATGTATATTATTATACTAGGATAATAAGGACAAAATAAAGATGATAACTAAATGCTTGAAAAATTTTATTTTATTTTATTATTACAAACATGATGAACATATTGTTTGAAAGCGAATGTACTGCTGATCAGCCAATGGGATGAATACAGTGATATGACGTAGTAAGGTGGTGTTCCATTTATAGTTCTTGGTGATACATTCTTATGGGTACTTGGATGTACATATGTGCAGTATATCTAGTGGAATGACAGTAGTAACATTATTTGAAAAGTTATCGAGTAGTGTTGTATTTTATTAGTGATACATTACGATACGCAGGTATTTCTATAATATTACATGTAGATTAGATTCAATTCACATGTAGCGTATACGTTGCTGCACAAATCGTAAATACTACATGTCTAATTGAAAAAATAATTGAAGAATTTATCGAATATTTCGTCTAATCGATATTTTTCAAAAATTTTTCAAAACGTCACAAATTGTATTCTATCGCGTTTGTTACTATCTTGGTGAAATAATTCAAACAACTTTGTAGAATGCTTGTATACCTATGTTCGCGAATTGAAGTGTACCGCTTAGAGAGAACAAAGAGGTATTTGAGCGCGAAAGATTCGTCCGTATTTGAAAATAATCCTTGGACAAATAGGAAACGAGTGCCTGTTTAAAGTTAATTAAAATAATCTCGATCGAAAGTAAGACGAGACTCTTAAGCTTTCAATCGTCTGATAATAAATATGATTTCAGTTTAACGGCACTTTGAATCATCGTAATATTTTAAGATTCCATTATGACTTCATTTCGTGAATACGTAATACCTGCCTTTAAACGACACTCGTTCGATTTAGATTTCAGGCGGAATTGTACAAATGTTTCTTTCGTATTACAGCAAAATTATAATGCAAGTTCTATTTTACGCGATCACATTTCTCATCGTATGTGATGTTACATACGGTTTCTTATCCAACGACCAATTACAATGTAGAGATGAAAATAACGTACCGGTGGATTGGTAAGTGTTTATACAGTTGTTTCCTACGTAATTTTGAAAACGTCGTGATTTCATCGTGATTCATCGATGAAACATTCTTAATACGATTAATTTGACGAAAATTATGCGACGGTAATGGTTATATTGAATTAACGTAAGAATTATGCTATTTCAGGTATGTGCTGTATAAGTTGCCGAAAATTCACACAAGTAGTAATCCTCTGATTAGAAAAGGCCTTGCTTATCTGTACATAACAAATCTAACCATTGGAACTGGCTGGCGATTGTCCACTAGGCCCATAGCTTGGAACAATTCCATCCCTGGAATCACATTAGCGCCTCTTTACGATCGCGTAAGCATTTACAGAACATTTAACGCTGCAGACTTGTGTAGTAATTATGAGGGTATTTAGCTTTAACGTTTCAATGGTAAGATATCGGCGGTAATTATGGCGACTTACCCAACTTTTCCTCGTGATTTATCGTGCAGGGAAACGAGGATGAAAATTTATGGAATTTATATAACGACAGTCCGCCGTCCTCAGGCGAGGTGTCTCAAAATTATGGTCACACGAAAGGTGTAGTGATGGCAAATAGAGATCGAGGCTTTTGGTTAATTCACAGCGTGCCAAATTTTCCTCCGGTACCCAAAGCTGGCTTGCATACCCGTCCAGGAAAAAAAGAAAATATCACTATCACGGGGAAATACGATTATCCAGAAAGTGGAACGTATTATGGACAGAGTTTTCTCTGTATTTCTCTTGGTAGTGATCAATTCGACATTGTCGGCAAACAATTAATGTACAACGAAGTAGCGGTGTATGGAAAAAATATTCCCGAAACTCTCGGGAATCAGTACCCAACGCTGACGAATGCGACTAATCAGAAACACATTAAAAATCCTCCTTATAATCACAAAGCTATTATAAAATCGTTGGGATCTTTTGAATTCACATCGTTCGCGAAGGACGGGAAGTGGGGAAAAGGTAATTAAACATTATACACAATAGTTACGAATCTTTCTTCCGTTAACAAATGTCGAATTTTTCAGAGTTATACGCCGACTTTGTTGCGCCACAATTACAATCGAATTTAGACGTTCAGTCGTGGTTGAACGGCCGAGGAAAATTACCGTCAACTTGTAGTCGTAGAAGGTAACGTCGGTTTCTTATCCTCATCGTGGATATCGCTTTGATTTCTTCGTCTCACGAATTTGTCCATTCTTCAGAATTTACAACGTTAAAACTCTGAAATTCGAGGCGGCCAACGCTGATTATACCAGTACTCGTGATCACTCTAAATGGGCAATTACAATCAACAAAAAATCAGACGATCGTTGGGTTTGTATTGGGGACATAAACAGAGCCGTAAGTTTTATCCATTAGCGATGTACAAATATTTGGATTTACCGCATATTCAAACTACTATTTCTTTAGGACACACAATTTTCTCGAGGTGGTGGAGCTGTGTGTTTCAACCAGCCGCAATTGTGGGTTAATTATCGCGATGTTGTAAACGACGTAGAGCCTTGCTCTTAGAATTAAAGATTTTAGCATGTTTTAATATGTTGATTGGTAGTTTGATGCAGTAAAAATGACCGCGTTAAACGTAGGTATAATACGAAATTAAATCCTGTTAAAGTTTAAAGAATAATAAAAACTAACGAAAAGAGAAAATGCAATATGTGTAAAAGCAATATGTGTAATAATTGCAACGGCAACAAGAACGTCTCGATCGGCTATACATTAACCACACAACGGATGTTTTCGTTAATATGCATCGTAAACGTCCGCAACACCAGTGCGAGTACACAGAGTAGTAACCGTCATATTAACTGCAGTTTACTTGCAAGTGTATAAAGAAGAGGTCTCGGTAGCTCTTTATTACTGTGGAATAAGGACGAACGACGTGGATCAGAAGCAGTTCTTAAATTGGATTTTATGAAAGGCAGTAGCGGCTCCTCCTGCACCGACTCTCGTTTCGTCTTCCCTTTTCTCAACCGTGCTTATTGTCTACCTAAGGAAATTGCAGAGTAGCTCGACGTGCCGTTAATGAAAGAAAAAAGAAGGTTGCCGAGGTTTAGTAAGCGGAAGGAGAGAGGAACGATTTGCTCTTTAATGAAAATTCCAAGAAATCGACTGAACTTCGGCCCGCTCTTTATCGCCCGTTTCAAGTTTCTCCATCCCTTTGATAGACTTTGTTTCAGAGATTTCTTTCCTCGCGGAGGAAAAAAAAAGCTTCTCTAAATACTGCATCGACGAGAGCTATTCCGATTATCAGCAGTGATGATTACTTGCTCTTATTACGAACGTTATATCATGCCATTCACCTTTGATCGATTCATTCGATATTTCACATTTCTTTAATTGGAAAGCGTATGTAACGCTCACCCATACAACTTTACATATGTACATATGTACATATATATGTATATAGATACATGTATCGATAACACGTATCGTGTATTCATATTCATTACAATGTGATCGCAACCAATCAGATGGAGAGATATGTATATACGTATGCAGTTCGGTATACGATATACATACGTACACGTGTATTGTATATAGAATGTTGAACGGAGTGTGGAATTGTTCATTTCCCTATTTCCATCTAATTCCGTGTTTCCTGCAAGATTACTTTACAGAACGAACAGCATTTAACGTTCTAACGTACACCTACTTGTCGTAATCGCTGATAAAGATAACTTTCCGTTCGCTCGTTCAGTTTCACCGGTTCGCGTGAGTGTAAATTAATAATGGAATGTAGCGCGGTGTTAAGCGAGGCGCAATAACGTCGACACGTCCTCGTCAATCACCGGAGAAACGTTAGGATAACGAAAGGGGAAAGAGAAGAGAGGTAAACTGGTTTGGATGAAAAGGCCGATAGGTGGGAGAGGGTGGAGAGAGGGTTGAAATTGGCGGGTGTTCATCGAGGCGTGAATGAACCGACGCCCGCTGCCAAGAGACAAAACAACGGCGAAAACAAGAAGCGAGAGAGTTCGGTAAAGCATCTGGAAGCGGATGCTTGGAAAAACAAGCTGGCTGCTGCTGAAAGGGGATTAAGAGCAGGAACGTAGGGATTCCTTTAATAGAGATCTGGCAGCTGGCAACATTCGGTCAATTTCTTAGAGCCTATCCCCCGTATATGTATACATGTTTATATCATTTCTGCGACACGAAAGAAAAGTCGAAACTGGTATTTCTGATTTTCGATACTTGGCCGATACCACGAGGAAATCGATTCGTATACATCGATCGCAATCGAGATTCCGACGAGCGTCCACTTGAGATCGATGCGTGAATTTTGTTTAATGCACGTGCGTGGAAAAGAGAAAGCGTATATTATAATTTTCGCGTACAGTGAAGAGGTGAAAAAAAAAAAGTGACAAGATCGTATGACAGGCTAGTTGAATACCACTGATATATTTCACGTCACGTACCGTTTTGAGCTGGCGTGCTCGATGGGGCACAGATTTCGGTTGAAGCACATAGTGGTGTCGTAAAAGGCCATGAAATTTTGGCGGCAAGGAAAGACGAGAAGACGACGCTGCGGTGTTCGCAGCGATATTTCAGCATTAAAGGCACCCTGTTCTGCATACTAAAATCCTGTGCACCGTCCAAATATACGCGCAACGTTATATGCACGGAACCGTCGTGTGTCGTGCTTCGCGTGTATACTTAAGCACACTGGTATAGCGCATGCGCCAGCTTCCGCCGTCCTTTTTCCTCCGGTTACCAACATCCTGCCGTCTTTACCGCCGAGCTTCGTGTCTATAGTTTATGTACACGTATGTATCGTACCAGATAGCCCTACGTGAACTTTAATATTGCCTTATACCTATTCATATCGTGTGTGAGAGAGAAATCATAGTGGTTCCTTTTAGTTGGAAATGAGGCTCTGTCGGCTTTTACGTACGTAACGAGATATCAGCCTCGAAACTTGCCGTCACTGCAACGGATTGTCGCACTTTGGTAAGTAAACGATGCAAGATTATTGCTACTGGTCAACGTAAATTCCAAAAACTAGGTTACGTTACGACGAAGAACTTTTCACCGAATTATGGAAGGACGTTTTTGCTTATTCTTTACTTTCTACCAATATCAAAACGCTGATCCCGTGAAATTTCATAACTGCGTCATTTGACAATTTCGTTCGTTGTCGTTAGAGGGCGTAAATGGTGGGAATTCTTCACGACGAAGAGCATACGTAAGCGATGGGAAACAGAGAGATTGTAAAATCGGTCAGGCATCGAAATTTGTACGCATGTTCGCGGAACATTCGAACGAATTGAGAAAAACACGAGGAGATAACAGTTTAAAACGTCAGTCAGGTTGCGTCAACTTGCGTTCCTTAACTTTGTTTTCGTTTCTATGGAAACACATCGAACGACGCGGAATAGCAAAAGTGAAAGACACTTTTGTCGACCGTTATATTTTCCAAAATTGCGATATATATTTTGATCATACTTTCTACGTATGTATGTATAAAGGTTAGAAATTTACAAAGAAATTGTTTCAACGAACAAGCTCGTGAAAACGATAAGGAATATATGTACATAGGTTAAGGTCGTAATCGATGTTACACGTGTCTCTAGATTCGAGTAAGAGGCTATGCATATGTATGTATGTAACAGAGATATCTGTAGATGAAGTTTAATATTCATTCTGCAAACTGGCAGCGTGGTTTCCTCTATCGTAGGGGAAAACGTGTCGGGTTTAACTCAAAGTCAACTCTCTTATCGATGTTACGTTTTCACGACCAATAGTGACAAGTTATCGTGCGAAAGACAGTTTTTTCTAAATGCGTCAGCGTAAATACGGTGTAAGGTTACAGATTGTTTGGAGATGCGTGTGCAGCTGGTTCGTTGCGTATACGTAGTTTGAGTCACTGACATCTTAATCATATGCTTTGTGGAGAAGATTACGTCACGTGACCGTGATAGTTGCGGGTAAAGTACGTATCGTTCGTTCGTCGAATTGGACATTTCATGCACAGGATGTAATTAAAATAAATGGATAGCTGACAACCTTTCTCTGTTATATATACGCTAGACGATATGATGAAACTGATGAAACGAGTGGTTACCTTGACCCGAATATTAATGTACCCACTAGAGGAAAATAAGCTTAGTGTGTGCAAGTTTCCGAAACATCTGCTACGTTCATCACAGGGGTTTGACGTATACTAAAGTTTTAATAGCGTGTTTGACCCATATTCTATAAGCTACCTTGTGCAACTACGTTGGTATTAATCTTTGATTCGATATATGGAAATCTCCGGTTTAATTCCTCTCGCGTTACGTTCACGGAACGCGAGAAAGTGTAGAACGACGTTGTAATGTAGACTAATAAAGATAAATATGCGATAAGTGCGCGATGGCCGAAGGTAGGAGGTTTATTGTTGTTGTGCGACTGCATCGCTACTGTACCGGGAACTGCATTAAGGTGGTAGGAACTATCAGGGAGGTTCTCTGAAACTACCCCGAACAACTGTCTCGGCGTAACCGAACTCGAATGCATCACCGTCGTAGTTTCAACCCGGAGCTTCCGGTACTTACCGAGAACTTATCAGACGGCGGAAGTGTCGTTGACTCATAACTGTCGACTTATTACTTCCACCTTGCTGAATCTTCCGGTAATAATATTTCATTTTTCTCTCGGAAACCCGTACGTAGATGTATCGCGGGGAAGGGTAACCGGGTGGGAATTAGGGAGTGAGAGAGAGAGAAGGCCGTCGTAGAGACGCGGCAGAGAATAATTCAAGTAGGTAGAAACTGGAAGGGTTGCGTGGCGGTGGAAATTGCGGATGGCAGGGGTAAAGCTGCAGCACTCCGCTTAGACAAAGCCTAACGAAGCTTCTATTCAGCAACAGTAGGCACCACGAGGCCCAACTTCACTTCTATTATACTTACTCGTCGGCACGAAGTGAATTCCATCCATCAACGGAATTCCAGGCTAAGCAGCTCTCGGCTGGCTGGCATCTCCATCTCTGGCACGAGAGGCATTCTCTCCTTTTTTGGTGTTGCATCCTCTTTGTCTTTGTTTTCTTCTTTTCGTCAGCAACCCTTTCGCGTACTACATACACGGCACGTAGTACTCCTCCGACAGTCTCTCCCATCTACGTTCGATCGTTGAACGTCGCGTGCACGAGGAAATCTGAAATCGAAATGACCTCGTCTCCCTTTTTCTTTCTCGTACAACCGTGGACTTATCGACAGCCGGGGATATGTTGGCGCGAATCTGTGGCTGGGATAAGCGCGTCTCCGGCGTAATAAAACTCCCGGAGGGAAGCCAGCACCGTTAGCCGGAACTTTTCCACGAAGAAGAAGAAGGAGAAGGAGAAGAATCAATCCCGTAACGTCGCGGAACGATATTAACAACGGAAATGAACGTTTCGTTAGGCTTTTCTGCTCGGGTTTGAAATTACCCGAAGACGTTCGAGGAGCTACGATAGCATAGAGGATTTTTCTTGGCGTTACACGCAAAAGCGTCTAAAAAGTCAGCTGAGAAGGAGAAGAAAGAAGAGAGAAAAGCCACAAGCATCGGAGATACAAGGCGAGTCACGAAGCTGAAGCGTCGACTCCTCGTAGAACTTACACGTCTTGCTTTTCGGCTTT